AAAATCACAAGACATGCAGCATAGTAAAGTGTGGAAATATAGGCTGTTAGAGCTTTAAAATGTCCCCTTGTAAGTTCCTTCCAAAGCCACACAATTCTCTTAGCATGGAAAGAGACTGTTGGTGTAATTTGGAAAAATGGGTGAAATTGTGCTAAGTGCTTGGGGCATGTTTTGAATAGCCCATCCTCCATGTCTGGATTCTGCTTAGAGCTAGAGTTAGCATGCCAGCTGCACTGGGTGGCTCAGAAACAGTCCAAGACTAAATATCTGGAGCATGACTCATCCACCTTCCTTTTCTCTAAGGAATGTATGGAGGTGCAGAGGCAGCTATAAGGCCTGTCTCTTCTTATTATGGAGAGAGGCAGTCCTTGGGACACTGTGGTCCTCAGCCGTTTAAGGCTTTATAGCTCGAAACCAGCACTTCGAATTGGGCCTGGAAACTAACTGGCAGCCAGTGCAGTCTGACAAGGATCCGTGTAATATGTTCAAACCATCTTGCCCCGATGAAGAACCCGATCACTTAAATTTGCACTAGCTGAAGTTTCCAAACTGTCTTCAGAGGCAGCCCTATTGCAACACATTGCAATAATCTAACCTAGAGGCTACCAAAGCATAGACAACAGGAGTTAGACTGTCCCGGCTCAGATAAGAGCGCAGCTGGGCCACCAGCCAAAGTTAATGGAAGGCACTCCATGCCACTAAGACCACCTGAGCTTTGAGTAACAGCAAAGGATCCAGGAGTACCCCAAAGCTATGTGCCTGCTTCTTCAAAGGGAGTGTGACCCCATCAAGAGCAGGCAACCTCCCAGCCATCAGGTCTAGAGAACCACCCACTAACAGTGCCTCAGTTCTTATATGGATTGAGCTTCAGTTTGTTGGCTCTCATCCAGTCCATTATTGGGGAAAGATGTGAAGTAGAATCAGAACTGTGTGTCATCAGCATATTGCTGACAATGTATCCAAATCTCTACTTCTTCTTCTTCTTCTTCTTCTTCTTCTTCTTCTTCTTCTTCTTCTTCTTATCCTCGCGATCATTCATAGCCAAGTAAGATTGTCTTCCATAAACATAGTTTTAACAATGAGTCCGTAAGTGACTGTGGAGGCCAATTCTGGATCCACATGTCCTTCCACAGTGGGCACATTGGTTTCAGGGCGGGAGTTGAACACGGTGTGGATTTGCCAAGCATGCCTTCCTCTTAGCACATTTCTCCCTTTTGTCCTGTGTTTGAGCATCTTCAAAGCCCATGACACCTTTGGTAAAGGCTGTTCTCCAGTTGGAGAGCTCACAGGCAAGTGTTTCCCAATTGTTGGTGTTTATACTACATTTTTAAAAATTTGCCTTGAGACAGTCTTTAAACCTCTTTTGTTGACCACCAGCATTACACTTTCCATTTTTAAGTTCAGAATAGAGTAGTTGCTTTGGAAGACGATAATCAGGCATCTGCACAACATGACCAGTCCAATGAAGTTGATGTTGAAGAATCATTGCTTCAACACTGAAGATCTTTGCTTCTTTCAGTATACTGGCATTAGTTCGCCTGTCTTCCCAAGTGATGTGTAAAAATTTTCAGAGTCACTGTTGATGGAATCTTTCGCGGAGTTGGAGATGGTGTTTATAAGTGGTCCATGTTTCACAAGCATACAGTAAGGTTAGTAGTACAATAGCTTTGTAAACAAGTATTTTGGTTTCCCTGCAAATGTTCCGGTCCTTCAATCGGGAGAAAGCTGCACTTGCAGAGCTCAGGTGATGCTGGATTTTGGTATCAATGTCGGCCCTTGTGGAAAGATAACGGCCCAGTAAGAGAAGTGATCGACATTTTCCAACGTTACGCCATTGAGTTGGATGTGTGGCGCTGCAGAGGGGTTATGTTGGTGTCACACTTTGTTTTTTTTGGATGTTGAGTGACAGGCCAAGCTTTATGTAAGCTTCTGTGAAGATATTTAGGATGGTTTTTAGGTCATCCTCTGAGTGTGCACACACTACATTGTCATCAGAATACTGAAGCTCTACGATAGAAGTTATAGTAATCTTACTCTTTGCTTCCAGCCTGCTCAGATTGAAGAGCTTTCTATCTGTTCTATATACGATTTCTACTCTGGTGGGGAGTTTCCCTTCAACAAAGTGTTGCTGTCATATTTTCATGGAGGAGCCGAATGATGTTCACAAATTTATCTGGCCAGCCAATTTTCAGAAGGACAGTCCACAGGGCTTTACAATTTACAGTGTTGAAGGCCTTAGTCAGGTCAATAAACGCCATATACAGGGGTTGGTTTTGCTCTGTGCATTTTTCTTGAAGTTGTCAAGCAGTGAAAATCATGTCTACTGTCCCCCTCAAAGGCTGAAAACCATTTGGGAAGGGTCACCTCGGAAATTGTTAAGAAACTGTTGGCTAAGAATTTTGCCGGCCGCAGCTAATAGAGAGATGTCTTGATAGTTTCCACAATCATGTCTGTCACCTTTTTTTAAAGAGATTGATAATCTTGGCATCCCTAAAGTCTGCTGGGATCTCTTCTCTCTTCCAGACTTTTTCAATAAGCTTGTGAAGTTGTTGTGTAAGTTCAATTCCACCCACTTTGAAGACTTTGGCAGGCATCCCATCAGGTCTGCTGGCTTTGTTGTTTTTCATTTGATTAATAGCTGTACACAACTCTCCCAGATATGGAGATACTGCAAGCTCATCTCTAACTTGGTTTTGTGGAATTTGTGAGAGGACCTCAGCAGCTACGGGGGAGTTGTTGGTAATATTCTTTCCAGTGTAATGCAATAGCTTCTTTATCTTTTAGATGTATGGTACCGTCTGCTGAGCGTAGGGGGCATATGCCATGATTTATTGGCCCATAGATGGTCTTTGTGGCTTTAAAGAAACTCTGTGCATCATGAGTGTCAGCTAAGTGCTGGATCTCTTGAGCTTTTTTAATCTACCATGTGTTTTTTAGTTCTCTGGTTCTTCTTTGAACCTTAGCCTTAGCATTGGCATAGGTCTTTTTCTTAGTGGCACAGTTTCTGTCTCATCATAGCTCTGATAAGGAGCACATCATGGCGATCTTTAGCACAGACAATAACATAGTCTAAGAGGTGCCAGTGGTTTGACCGAGGAAGCCTCCATGAAGTTTTCAAGTTATTTTTTCTGTCGAAAGAGTGTGTTGGTAATAACAAGATTGTGTGCTGCACATATCATCAAAAGTAAGATTCTGTTCTGGTTGCTGTTGCCAATTCCTTCTTTCCCAGTAGTCCCAGGCCACAGATTGAAATCTCGCCCAACTCTTGCATTAAAATCACCCAGGAGGATAATTTTATCTTCCTTAGGTTTCTCTGATAGGATGGTTTCCAGCTGAGAGTAAAAACTTTCTTTAATGTCTTCATCGGCATCCAGTGTTGGTGCATAAGTGCTTATAATCGTAGCCTGTTGGTTTTTGGTGAGTTTTATTGGAAGGGTTGAGAGTCGCTCATTAATGCCGGTAAGGACTTCACTCAGCAGCGGGGTTTAAAAGCATAGGGGATATAATTGAACCCTATGGAACCCCACAGTGAAGGCCCCATGGGACTGAATCACTCTCCAAGCAACACCCTCTGAGAACAACCATCCAAGTAGAACTGGAAGAACCACATAGCGGTGCCACCCACACCTAACTTAGACAGCTGCTCTAGAAGGATACCATGATCAATGGTATCAAAAGCCACTGAGAGGTCAAAGAAAATTAACAGGGACTCATTTTTCCTGTCTCTCTACTGCCTGTGGTCATCATACAGGGCAACCTGTTGGATGTATCCATTGGTACAGTCAAATGCAACATTCCCTATTTCCCTAGAGTGGGCACAGGCAGGGGAATATCCAGTCAGTGTGACTTCCTGTTCCACTGACTGGATCATCCTCCCCCTGCATGTGACCTGGGAGATGGGCGTGGCTCTGGCTGACTCCACAAAAGAGCCGAGTCACGCAGCCATTTTCTCACTTGCGCTTTTGTCTTGAAGTTGTCTTGTTCTATCTTTTGCTGCCATGCTGCTCTCCTGCAGCCATTTTGTTGTATTACTGTAATTTTGTTCTCTGCAGCTCTGCAGCTTTCAAAGAGGGAATCTTTCCCAGCCCTACCTTGAGTTACCCTACAGTGTGTCCATTTGACAACAGATACAGACTATCTCAGCACTGGTGGTGCAGGAAGTATCTACACCTGACCAGTGGCATTGTGGAAGGGTGTATAGCATGATCACAATCACCATTTCCTTCTTGATGTTCATTTGGGGCATGTGCACAGAAGAAAAAGCATGAAAAACAATCATGAGGAGGGTTTTCACATATTAAGTAGCCACCCCTAGGCTTGTGGATGGCAGGATCTAGAATAAGCCTACTTTGAAAGCAGTGTGTTGAGGACAAGCATGAAGAATTCTGGATTGAGATTTTTTTGATTAAATAAATAAAGTTTAAATAAAACATTGTTAGACCTCTGGGTCTTCTCTTGGCCTTGGGTCCCTGGCAAATGTCCCCAACTTGCCACCCTCTGGAGTTGGCCCTGGATATTCAATTAAGTTTTACTCAGAGTAGAACCATTGAAATTAATAGACATGACTGACTTAGGGCCCTTAATTTGAATGGGCCATTTCTGAGTAAAACTTGCCTGTATACCACCCTATAAAACCATTTCTAAAATCATACAGTTGTTATTGAGTAAAATGATAGGGTTACATGCATTAGCCTTTTTTAAATAAGGTGCCTAAATATCAAAATACTAGGTGCTTTTCTGACATCGGCTGGCAACTTATTCCAGACAGCTGGAGCTGCGGTACTAAAAGCCCAATTTCTATGCATACTAAGTATAGAAAATGCACTGGTCAGGCAGGGAGATAGGGAAACTTGTAGGTTAAAGCAGAAGTAAAGCTGTTGCTAGGGACTGGGGAGAAGCATCTAGGAAGCTCTTTTCCAGGTGACAGGTCGCCCCAATATTTCCTTTTCCTCTTCACTGCTTTACAGTGGCATTTCCCCCACCTACACAGGTAAAGCGGCTCAGGAGGAAGAGAAGCCTGGCTGACAGACTGCCCTTACATCCTGGAAGGAGATAACCATTCTCATCCACATGATACACAGGTCACATGGAATCCACTGAGAAGTGGCACCAAAACTGGCCTTGCCACCAAGAGCCAATGCCAGGACCAAACTAGACATGGCAGCAGGCAGCTCCATCTCATGTTTTCCCTAACTATTCACAGGGATGGGAGGGCCCAATTCTCATGGAAATGGCATCCCTGGGGAAAGGTGAGACTTATGGCAGTTTGCATTCTTTCTCTCTCTGCTTCTGCTTCATTTTGGCAGGCCATGGTGTGCGTGAGAAGTCAGCAATGGCCTTATTCTGGAGGCATGTTAAAAGTCCTCCAAGCCCTTTGCAAAGAGGAAAGCAAAGAGGAGGTTAATAAAAATCAAGGAAAATCGTCTTCCTTTTGGTTTTGTAGTATCTTAAATCCATGCTTCAGTGAGCAATAAGGTAGAATCATAGAATCATAGAATCATAGAATCATAGAGTTGGAAGAGACCACAAGGGCCATCGAGTCCAACCCCCTGCCAAGCAGGAAACACCATCAGAGCACTCCTGACATATGGTTGTCAAGCCTCTGCTTAAAGACCTCCAAAGAAGGAGACTCCACCACACTCCTTGGCAGCAAATTCCACTGTCGAACAGCTCTTACTGTCAGGAAGTTCTTCCTAAGGTTTAGGTGGAATCTTCTTTCTTGTAGTTTGGATCCATTGCTCCGTGTCCGCTTCTCTGGAGCAGCAGAAAACAACCTTTCTCCCTCCTCTATGTGACATCCTTTTATATATTTGAACATGGCTATCATATCTCCCCTTAACCTTAAGGTACTATAGTACTTCATTTATTTCCAGAGACGTTGCCCTGTTAATCTTGCAGCATCAACAAAGAGCCTTGGGATACTTTAAAAATACAACACATTCCTACGTTTGTTCTGAAAACGGTGTGTAAACCTGGGTGTAAGCATTACTTCTAAGAGCTACTGAATACAAAGGGAGGTGCACAGCAGACGTGGAAGTGGACAGTACCAGTGCAACCTCCAACCATCTGGTGTAGGAGTCCACCACTATGAAGTACGTTTCCCCCTGGAAGGGGCCAGCGAAGTCCACGTGCAGGCATGGCCATAGTGCTTGGGGGGACTCCCAGGACTGGGCTGGGGCCCTTGGGGAATCCAGGTGGGATTCTTGGCAGGTCTGGCAGTGTTTGACCCAGGCCTGTATCTCTCCATTGATCCCCGGCCACCACACATAATTCCTGGCACAGGCCTTCATTCTCACTACCCCTGGGTGTGTCTCGTGTAGGGCTGTGAGGACCCTTTTGCAGAGGGGCTGGGGAATGGCAATCCTGCTTCCCCATAACAGGAACCCCTTGTGGGCTGATAGTTCATGTTTGCAGGTTGTGTAGCCAGTGAATTCTGGCCTGGGGCTGCTGCTGGGCCATCCCCTCCACACACAGTCCAGGACCCAGGAGATGACCCTATCTTTCATGGAATGGTCTGCAACTTCTTGTGCCTGAATGGGGCGGTCAGGAAGCAGCTCCAGGCTCATAACCTCTTGCACGGGCGCTGGGTCAGGGCCTGTTTCTGGTAGTGGTAGGCAGCTGAGGGCGTCTGCGTGACCAATCCCTTCCCAGGGTGGTGGATCAGGGCATACTGGTATCTGGTGAGGAAAATTGACCACCTGAGGATGCAGGGAGACAGCACTTGGGGGGGTGTGGGGGTGCACCAGAAAAATAGCACCCTTGTGCAAGATTGTGCAAGAGGAAACATCTGCTGACTTGTTTCCCCACCCGCCTGGGTCAGTGTCGAGCTGCTTAACCACAAAGCTTACGTGGCTGTCATGCTGTCTGGAGTTATGTCCTGGTAGAGAATAGTTATTCTTAGAAATGCAAACCCTAGCTGTTTTCCACCCGAGTGCTACACGTGTATATGCAACATGATGTAATGTGTGCAAGGCTAATAAACATGCAAGGCTGCTGGGAGAGAGAGCCACTCCTTGCTTAAACCTTCACCCATGACTCCTCGTCACTTTCCTCCGCACCTGGTGGGCTGGTTCCCCGACAGGGGGGTCTGCTTCTTGGGGGCAAACAAGCCAAGCAATGGCTTGTGAAGAAGAGAAGAAGAGTTTGGATTTGATATCCCATCTTTCACTCCCCTTAAAGAGTCTTAAAGCGGCCAACATTCTCCTTTCCCTTCCTCCCCCACAACAAACACTCTGTGAGGTGAGTGGGGCTGAGAGACTTCAGAGAAGTGTGACTAGCCCAAGGTCACCCAGCAGCTGCATGTGGAGGAGCGGGGACGCAAACCCGATACACCAGATTACGAGTCCACTGCTCTTAACCACTACACCACACTGGCTCATTACCATGGTTAGTCACCATGGTAAAGGTCAGTCCTGGTCAGTCACCATGGTAAAGGGTCGCCCATACACGAAAGAAATCATGGAATTTTTTTACTCCCTTCACGATTGCCAGACCCACCTTGTTGATTTGTGAGTAGTTCCCCTTGGCTGCGGTGAGCATCTGGGAAAAGTATATACCGGCACCTCTCTTCCGTCCGGGAGTTGGTGTCCCAGGACAGCACTGATGCCGTAGGGTGAGGTGCCACATGCTAGCACCACCAGCAGCCTCTCGTTGAAGTGTGCCAAGACTGAGTTCAAGACGAGCAAGTCCTTGACTGCCTGGAAAACGGCCTCCTGGCACTAGCCCCACACCCAAGGGGCCTGCTTGTCTAGGAGTCTGTGTAGGGGCTCCGCTACTGCCACCTTATGAGGAAGGAAGGTGAGGTAAAAGTTCAATAGTCCCAAGAAGGCCTGAAGTTCAGTCTTGCCCTTGGGCGCTGGGGCATCACAAATGGCCCATACCTTGTCACTGGTTAGGTGGACCCCTTCTGCGTCCACCGCAAATCCCAGAAAGTCCACCTGGGGCACTCCTAGTAGACACTTTTCCTGCTTCACCTTGAGGCCTGCCATCCGGAAACGGTGCAGGACGGTGCGGAGGCAGTCCCCGAGCTCCTCTGGCGTGGGCCCGGCGATCAACAAATCATCAAAGAAGGGGGTGGCACCATGAGTCCCTTTAAGGTGAGAGTCCATTACATTCTGGAATATGCCTGGCACCACGCTGACACCAAATTGCAGCCGCCTTATCCTGAATGCTCCTCTGTGCGTCACAATTGTCTGTGCCTCTGCTGTGGCCTCGTCTACCAGCAACTGTTGATAGGCTTGCCAAAAAAAATTGATCCAGCTTGCCAAAAAATTTCACCCAGCCAGGTTGGTGAGGACATGGCTGACTACTGGCACTGGGTATGCATGGGCCGTGAGGGCCTTGTTTATGGTATATTCGTAGTCTGTGCAGATGCGGACCCAACCATTAGGCTTGAGAGGTGTATCGGTGTTTCCCAGGGAGCATTAGGCACCGGGTCCAGCACTCCTTGCTCCATAAGCCGGTCCAATTCCTTGTCTATACGGGGTTTCAGGGCGAATAGGACCCAGTGGGCCTTGAGCCTGATGGGTCATATGGTGGGGTCTAGCTGTAGGGCATTGGGGGGGTATATTGTCCCAATGCCCCATCAAAAACCCCCAGAAACACTTTGCATATGACGTCCACGTCCACTTGTAACCTCGTGCGGGTCACCCCAGTGACGGCTTGCCCCAGCAGTCCAAACCATGCCACTCCCAGCAAGCTAATGTAGGGGCCACAAGAAAGTCCTCAATAAATTGCACCCTGAAGGTCCCCACCCCCATTGTGGGGACCTTACGTTTCTGGAAGTCCCAGAAGGTGAATGGGGCCGGCTTGAGTTTGGGACCCCCGCTAGGGCACAGTTCCTTTAAGGTTCTTGCCGAGATTATGGATAGCGTTGAACCCGTGTCAAGCTCCATACAGCACAGGGCCCCCTCTATCTGTAACTCTACATAAATTTTCTCTGTGTTGGAATGGGGCAACTGGTATACCTGGCAGTCCATGATCTCCATCGAGTTGCCTTGGTGTGTTGGGCACCGGGACCTGGGCCTCTTGGGTCAGTCATCTGATGCCCCCACAAAGTCAATGGGCAAAGTTGAAGCCCTTCTTTGCAGGCACCTACTATCCTCAGTGTGAGAAGGCACCTATGATGACCCCAACCTGATTTTTTAAACCACAGGGGATCCATTCATGTCCCACACTCTGTTTAATCAACATTGACCATCAGTTTGTTTGAAACAAGCTGCTAAACTTGACCATAAATTATTTCTACGTTTACCTGCTCCAAATGGCAAAAATTCTTCTCTAGACCTAAAATTTCCATCCTTGTCCAAAAAGTGGCTTGAGTTGAACTCTTCAGGTTTTTCCCATCGCGTGGGATCGACAAGAACAGAGTTCAGATCTGGAGCAACAAATGCCCCCTGAAAAGAAGAAACAGCTGTCTCAGAATGCATCTGGAACAGCAGAAAGCAGTTTTGCCATTCACTGCCCCAAATCTTAACACATTTCTCACATACAGTGGTACCTTGGGTTACAGATGCTTCAGGTTATGTGTTTTCGGGTTGCGCACCGCGGCGAACAAGGAAATACTGGAACGGGTTACTTCTGGCTTTTGGCACTCGCTCATGCACAGAAATGCTAAATCGTGCTTTGTGCATGCGCAGAAGTGCCAAATCGCAACCCGCATGTGCGCAGGTGCAGTGCTGCGGGTTGCAAATGTGCCTCCCGCAAGGATCACGTTAGCAACCCAAGATTCCACTGTATAGAGATAAAGTCAATAAGCACAATATTTCATTCAAATCCTGATTTGGTGCATCAGAAGATAGCATGTATTTCTCATAATAGAATTTATTAACTTTCAGATTATTAATCTTCAGATTTCTTTTCGAGAGAGGGGAGATCCTTCTCCCTCAGATTTTGTGCTGCATATGTGCTTTTAAAGTGCCACTCTCAAGTGCTCTTTGCTCTCAAAATATACAACTGCTGCCTTATCTATATCCTGTACCTTTGGAACATGAAAACCATGCATTTCCAAATCCTTTGCATTTAGTCTGGGAATCCCAACTAATAAGGGATATTTTGCACGCAAAATTTCATGCATCACCGCGTTGGTGTAAGGCAGTTTCTTTCGATCTTCATAGCAAATGGGAAGGGAGGGACCAAAAACATCTTCCATCTCCTTGTAGACTTTATCTGCAGGAAAAAGTGGGAAATGAAGCTTTATTTTAAAATACCCTGGTTTAAATCTGAGAAACCTCTGACAATCAAGCTGAATAGGGTGGGGTGAAAAGACCCTGGTATATTAAGTGAGGCTCATTGGTATATGCTGGCAGCACCCTGAAAATAAGAAGTTAACAATTAAATACCTTGAATGCAGCTGCATGTGGAAAAGGTCTATTACTCTGTGGTAGAACATCTGCTTTGCATGCAGAAGGTCCGTGATTCAATTCCCAGAATCTCCAGGTAGGGCTGGGAATGTTCCTTCCCTGAAATCCCGGAGAGCTGATGGCAGCCAGTGTAGGCAATACTGAGCTGGATGGACCCTGGCCCTGACTCAGCAGCAGCCAGTTTCTCATGTTTCCACAAATTCAGAGGGGAGTTCCTTACTCTCTGGGAAGACTATTTCACCAGGAGCCAGATCAAATGTTTCTTTCACCCACTCAGTTCTGCCCTTACTGAAACTCAGCGCCTGGCTTCTCTCCCACACAAAACAGGATTGCAGCCAGTGCATGGAGGCTAGTTAGCACAATTCTATGGCTGCTCATTTCTCCCTGTCTTCCTCCTGGCAGAGTGGCCACAGTGGCGACCCACACTGTGCCCTGTTCAGCCATACCCCAAGGCAAACACCTCTGTGGTGAAATCTGCAAAGCAGGCACAAGCATGTGGCAGAGGAGGAGAGCTGGCGATGAATATCCTGAGTCGGATTGAGGGCCAACCAACCCTCCTGCTGCTGCCATCTTTGGATGCAATGTAAAAAAAGCCATGGAGGTGGCAGGAGTAGCAGGGATTAAGCAGCTTGCCACAGCAGCAAAATGGCATTTGGCCACAACTACAGCCCACAAATACTAAAGGAGGAGTGAAGGTGCCCCACAGAGTCCTCTGGGGCCTCTCCTCACTTTTGTTTACCTCAGGAATGTAACCAGCAGCAGCCTGGTCACTCTGGCCTGCCTTTTCCTCTCAGTGCCTCAGAGAGACAGTGCAGGAAAGGGGAAAAGGATGGCTAACAGCCTAACAGCAGGACTGAGTGAAAATTAGTAGCACTCTTGGTTAATTGGGGGTTCATATTGGGGGGGGGGCTTCCCAGTGGATGGAGTGTGAGGGGGGAAACCAGCATCTCCTTGTGGTGGTACTTAAAATGGTTGTTAGGAATTAAGTATAATGAGAGCTCTGGCTCCCTATTCTCCTGAGAGAACAGCTGCCTCTTCCCTTCCCTCCTGAGGAGAAGAGTTAGTGGCTGACAAAAGACCAAGCACTGAGGCGACCACAGAAGGGAAAGGTAGGGCAGCTCTGTGTTCCTCCTATCCTTAGCAGCTATCCCTTGAGGCAAGGACAAAATGGGGGCTTCCCCTCTTGGCAAAGCTGCCTATCCTCCCATTTCTGAGAGCAAAGCAGATGCTGCCCAGGAGCTGAAGCATATCTAGGAAGCAGACCAAACCTGAAATGAATTCAAGTCATTGACATCCCCTTCCCAAGTTTCTGAAGGGGTTCTTTTCATAGGGGTTTTGTGTATCATCAGCCTGTCAGCAAGACTGGGCAGAATCCCCTTTCCCTGAAGACAGGCCTCTCTTCTGGAGTCTGCTGGGATATAGAGGGGCCTAGAAGTTAAATGCCAAACAAAATCCCAAAATAAAAGCATTTTTATGCATTTTTTTCCACATAGAACTAGGAAATGGCACACTCTATACTTCTCTGTGAGGAAATCCTAGTGTTACTAGAAAATCTGGAATCAAATAACGTTCCCAGTTTTCTGGGAATGATCTCTTGATTACTGTGGAAATAGGTCACTGTTTGTTCTAAGGACTGGAGAGCAAATGTTAGTCAAAACTAGATGAAACAAGTCAGCAGATCTTGGTGACTGAGCAGAAGTAAACAACACCTAAGTTTGCAGTATTATGCCTAGCAGCATTTTACCTTTATGAGAAATAGTAAAACATTTTGTTTCGAATCAGAAGTCCAGCAATCTTAAAACAAAACAATACAGTCACCACAAAGACAAGAAAACACATTCACAACAGATAAACTGGTTTTGGGTGAGTTGCCTATTTCCATCATACTAACTACTAACTACTTTTATAAAAAAGGTTCAGAAAAAGGCAACACACAATGATTATGGGGCTGGAGTAACACCCCATGAGGAAAGGTTGTACCATTTGGGTGAAACTGTGAACAAACTTCTGTCACCCACCCATTATGAAACCTTGGAAGAATTACAATCAGCTACTAAAAAGCAAATAAATCTAAGCTCTTCTCTATAGGGATCCAGGGAGGTACTTGCTTCCATTGCAAAGTTCTCCCTCACCTTGAACATCTGGATAAGACACCATGAGGAGCAGTGCCCACTGCAGAGTAGCAGCAGTCATCTCTGTCCCTGCGATAAAGAGGTCAAGAACACACTCTGCCAGGTTGTCTTCATCAAAGGTAGAGTTGGGGTCATCCTTGCTCTGTTGATGATAATGGAAAAGGTGAAATGTTGGAATTAATTGCAGGCCACACAAAATCTATCTGACTTAGGGGGGGTCTTCCTAGCGCAACACCTAATACTTTGTTTTACAGGTAAATTTGTAGGAAGATACTTGCACACAGTCATGGACTGAAGTAGTCATCTAAAATGCCTGTTGCTCGCCACCCCAGTCTCCAAGTGGTTCAAGATTCCAAGAGTTCCAGGCACTTACCCAGGGTTCGTGTTTCCTTTGGAATGAGGCACAACAGAGACTGTGGTGTCTTTATGATATATGTTTTACTTACACATATATACAGCCTGAGCCTACAATGGAGGAATTCACAGCCAGCACCCCAATATGGCCTTGTTTCCCCCATAGCCACAGCCTTGGATTCAAATCAAACATTGTTGTTTCTCTCGCTTCCCAGCTTGCTGCTTCTAGCATTCAAGCTCGTCACTTCACTTTCCGCTCCCAATCCTGCCTTTGTCTTTCTAACTACCTGTGAGTTGGAGGAGGGCCCCCATCCATTTCCCATCTTGCACAGACCCACTTCCTATGTTACCTTAACCACCCATTTTCTCACCAGGAAGCTAGTCTGACTATTCCAAGAATTACAAGCAGGGCCGAGGCATTAGAAGGGTATCGGCATTCAGTCTACTCCCCCTCAAACTCATAACATGGCATTTGTAAAGGGTATAGGAAAGGATCCTCACTTGTTGGATCATCACCTTGTTGTGGTCAGTGGGCTTCCACAGTCCTATGACCCTTGTGAGTGAAGCCGTTGGGAGTCTCGTACTCCCAGCAAGGTCACCCAAGGCGGTAAGTTCAAAAGGGAGGAGCTAGACAAAAAATGATCCAAGAAGTCCTCAATGGCATAACAGGCGGATGATAACAAGCAGTATGTCACAATGGCTGTGAAGGTGGATGAAGGCTGCAGCAGATAAGAATCTACCTCTAGTCGTGACTACTCATGCCATCGGAACAGAGCCTTACTGCAGAGACTGTGCGTTGGTCAGCATGCACAGATCTACACCCATAAAACAAATTCACGCACAGGCATCTTCCCCAAAACCCATCCCAAACCCAAACCCAAAAAAGTCCCACAGCCAGCAAATGGTAACCGTGGCAGGAAGCCCCTAATCATGAACATGGGCACTGGATACAGATTCCTTTGTTCTGACACAAGAAATGATACAGTTGCTGAGCAGCTCAGCAACTGTATCCATGACTAAGCAGCCCTACTTAGGATCCACTCTGTTCACCCTGAAAAGGGGGAGGGGCTAGAAAAAGTGCCCTAAACATAGTCTGCCTCCCTTTTCCCATGACTGGGTTACCACGCCCAGTGGGGTAACCACCCAGTGGTCGTAAAAGACAATTGAACTTTGGAACTTGGAATATACAGACTTTGTAGGATAGTACAGATAAGGAGCGTCCCAAACGCAGAAGTGCCATCATTGCAAGAGAGATTTGACGTTTTAACATCGATATTGCAGCGCTTCAAGAAACTCAAAGAGCAGGTGAGGGACAACTGAAGGAAGAAAAAGGAGGCTACACATTCTTCTGGAAAGGTCTACCTGAACAAGAATGTTGAATACATGGAGTAGGCTTTGCTATCAAGATGGATTTTGTGAAGCTCTTATCTTAATACCTACTGGTATTAATGAGTGACTTTCAACCCTTCGAATAAAACTTGCCCAAAACCAGCAGGCTACTATTCTAAGTGCTTATGCACCAACACTGGATGCCAATGAAGACATTATCAGAGATGCCTAAGGAGGGTGATTTTAATGCTAGAGTTGGGCAAGATTTCGATCTGTGGCCTGGGACTAATGGGAAAGAAGGAATTGGTAACAGCAACCAGAATGGAATCTTACTTTTAATATGTGCAGTACACAACCTTCTTATTAACAACACACGCGTTTGACAGAAAAATAACTTGAAAACATCATGGAGGCATCCTCGGTCAAACCACTGGTACCTCTTAGACTATGTAATTCTCTGAGCTGAAGATCACCATAATGTGCTCCTTACCAGAGGTATGACAAGTGCCGACAACTGCTTGACAGAGCACTGATTAATACTTTTCATGATGGCTATCAAGCTTATACCTCAACGCAGGCTTCAAGGAAGGAAATGAAGGCACAAAATGAACACTCAAGCCCTTCAAGAGCCTATCAGGTGGGACTGCTTCCAAACGATTCTTAAGGACCATCTGCTTTTGGAATTCCCTGATTGAGGAACAATCCTCCATTGAGAAACATTGGACCAAGCTATAAACATCCATTATTGCTGCCTGTAAACAAACTATTAGATACCAAACCAAGAAACACCAGGACTGGTTTGATGAAAATGACAGTGAAATTGAACGCATTATTAACAAAAAAACAAAAAAAAGGAAGGCCTTTCAGATATGGCAAAGAGATAAAAACTGTGCTACTAAGGAAAAAACCCGATGTCAACACTAAGGCTGAGGTTCAAAGAAGAACCAGAGAACTAAAAAACACCTGGTGGATTAAAAAAGCTCAAGAGATCCAGCACTTAGCTGACACTCATGATGCACAGAGTTTCTTTAAAGCCACAAAGACCATCTATGGGCCAATAAATCATGGTATATGCCCCCTAGACTCAGCAGAAGGTACCACACTTCTAAAAGATAAAGAAGCTATTGCACTGCGCTGGAAAGAATATTACCAACTTCTCCTTAACCGCAACTCCCCTGTAGCTTGCAGTATCTCCAAATCTGGGAGAGTTGTGTACCGCTATTAATCACATGAAAAATAACAAAGCCAGTGGACCTGACGGAATACCTGCTGAAGTCTTCAAAGTGAGTGGGATTGAACTTGTACAACAACTTCACAAGCTCATTGAAAAAAATCTGGGAGAGAGAGGAGATCCCAGCAGGTTTTAGGGCTGCCAAAATTATCAATCTCAAGGCTTTTCTTTATTAGCTGCAGCCGGCAAAATTATTGCAAGGATCTTAACAAACTGTCTCTTAACAACATCCCAGGCAACTCTTCCTGAATCCCAAAATGGTTTTCGGCCTTCTAGGAGGACAGTGGACATGATTTTCTTATTATTATTATTTTAATTTTTATTGGAAATTTTATTTACAACCTAACATAACCCCCCCCCACAGAAATCCACCCTCAATAAGCGTGAACATAACATACAATGAGCATAACATACAACAATACAAACAACCAAATAAAAGACTTCCTTTATCCTGTATCTTGCCTCCTTATTTACTTCTTATAAACTGTTTCCTTTATGAATTAAGATTTTTCTAATTATAACGTAAATATCCACAAAGTCTCCTGCAGACATTCATCGAAACAAGTCCAGGTATGTATTTTAGGCCACTGTTTTGTGAAGTATTCTCTGCATTTTCCCCATGCTTTTTGAAAATCTTGTCTAGTGTGGTCTCTAATTGCCTCTGTTAATCTAGCCAGTTCAATATACTCTAAAAGTTTGTCTTGCCATTCCTTTCTTGTTGGCACAGTTTCTTTTTTCCAGTTTTTAGCAATTAGGATCCTTGCTGCTCCTGTGGCATAGAGGAATATTTTCTGATCTTCTCTTGCTATACCTGTGTCCGTTATCCCTAGTAGAAAAGCTACTGTATTTTTCATAAAGTTATACTTAAACATTTTTTTAAGCTCATCATATACTAAGTTCCAGAAGCTTTTGATTTTTTACAGGTCCACCAAACATGTATAAGTGTCCCCTCTGTTTTACCACAACACCAGCACAGAATTGATTTTGTCTTATACATTTTAGCTATTTTGGTAGGTGTTAAGTACCATCTATAATAGTGATGTATGGAAGTGAGAGCTGGACCATAAAGAAGGCTGATCGCCGAAGAATTGATGCTTTTGAATTATGGTGCTGGAGGAGACTCTTGAGAGTCCCATGGACTGCAAGAAGATCAAACCTATCCATTCTTAAGGAAATCAGCCCTGAGTGCTCACTGGAAGGACAGATCGTGAAGCTGAGGCTCCAATACTTTGGCCACCTCATGAGAAGAGAAGACTCCCTGGAAAAGACCCTGATGTTGGGAAAGATGGAGGGCACAAGGAGAAGGGGATGACAGAGGACGATATGGTTGAATAGTGTCTTCAAAGCTACAAACATGAGTCTGACCAAACTGTGGGAGGCAGTGCAAGACAGATGTGCCTGGCGTGCTCTGGTCCATGGGGTGACGAAGAGTCGGACACGACTAAACGACTAAACAACAACAACAACCATCTATAAAACATTTCAATTAGATTTTCCCTCAGTACTTCACAGGCTGTAAATTTCCAGTTCTTTCTCCATAGTTCTTCCCATGCTGTTAAGTTAATGGTTTTCCCAGTATCTAAAGCCCACTTGATCATTACCTCCTTGACCTGTTCGTCTTTGACCTCCCACTCCACTAATGTATCATACATTTTTGATATTACCTAGGTTTGGTTTTGTAATAACACTTTTTCAAATAATGAAGGTTCATTTGAGAAACCTTTTTTCTTATCTGTCCTGAACAATTGATGGTACTGGATCCAACCCGTAAGGTGTTGTTTAATTTCCTCATAATCTTCAATTACCAATTTATTATCTTTTTCCTTAATCATATCTTTATATGTGGCCCATTCTAATTCCATATTTTTCTTTTTTTATTGTGATTGCTTCTAGAGGTGATGCCCACCATGGTGTTTTCGGTTCTAGGAGAGCCTTATATTTTGCCCATGTTTTATATAATGATTTCCTTATGACATGGTTCATATATCCCTTGTGTACTTTCCCTTTTTCATAAGCTAAATACACATGCCAACCATAACGATTGTTAAATCCTTCTAGATCTAACAAATCATCATCTTTTAATACAATCCGCTCTTTTAGCCAATTTAAACAGACTGCGCCGTGATATAAATTTAGGTCAGGTAGGGCCAGTCTACCTCTATGTTTTTTATCTATTAGAAGTTTGTGTTTAATTCTTGGTTTTTTATACTGCCATATGAATTTGGATATCTCTTTTTGCCATAATCTAAGACTTCCCATTCCTCCACTTATCGGTATCATTTGGAATAGATACATCATTTTCGGCAATACGTTCATTTTAACCACCGATATTCTGCCAACAAGTGATAATCTTAACTTATTCCAGATTTCTAAATCTCTTTTTATTCCTTTCCAGGTTTTAATGTAATTATCTTTGAATAGATTCCCGCCCAGAAACCTATGTCCCCACTATGGAAGGACATGTTGATCCAGAACTGGCCTCCACAGTCACTTACAGACTCACTGTTAAAACCGTGTTAATGGGAGACAATCTTACTCTGCTACGAGTGATCACCAAAGAAGAAGAAGAAAGGATCTCTCCAATGCCCTTCAAAAGCCATGTACAATGAAATGTAATAAAAGGAAACCACACCCCTTTCCAAGTCAGCTTCTTCCCATGTAATTTTGGAATGATGGTGCAAAGATAGTGGCTTCATCTGCACAAATCCAGTGTGGGTTGATGAGCATCGAAGTGCATTAATAGTGGTTTGCATTGGCAGTTTGTGTACCCCAAATTACAATTTGAACTGGGGTGATCCCGGAAACATTAACATCTGTCCTTTTTTCTAGAAAAAGAGGTGCCGGTACTCACCGTGAAGTTGTTACAGTAAGTGCCACACTTTTTAACAACAAAAAAGAGGTGCCAGTACTGCAGACATTTGAGTACCCCTTTTTAAAAAAGCACTGGTTATGTTTCTGGTTTTTTTTTTATAATAATTTTTATTCATTTTCCAAACATTTTTATACAATCAGCTCATATTTAATCACTCATTCATCAATTGTTGACTTCCCTCAGTTTCTCTGCCAATCTTTCGTTAAAATTTCTATTGTTGACGCATTTCTAAACTTATTATTGCATTTAACCATTCCTCTTCCTTTCTCCTACTTTCTTTTTTACAATATTTCTTAATTTTTCACAGTCTCTTCAAAACCAACAAGCGTTGTCTGTTCATCACATATGCTTTTCAGATATTCTGTAAATCTCCCCCAGTCCTCAATAAACTTTTGGTCTTTCTGATATCGAATCTTCCCAGTCAATTTATCCAATTCTGCGTATTCAGTCAATTTCATTCTCCATTCTTCCACTGTTGGAATTTCTTCCTGCTTCCATCTTTGCGCCAGAAGTAATCTTGCTGCTGTTACTGCGTATTGAAAAAGTTTACAATCTTTCTTATTAATTTCATTACCTACCAATCCTAATAGGAAGGCCTCTGGTTTTTTAACAAACGTACATCTCAACATCTTTTTCAACTCATTATTTTCTGAATAAAAAATCCTCTCATCACAGCTTTGCTGGCGTCCCAAACCATACTCATTTTTGTTCCCTTATTGCAGTTGTTTACAAAATATTCTGACAGATTCTTTTGAGCGTTTTCTGCTACTTTCTGATCATCTAGAAGGTAGTCGTTCATTCTCCATCTAAACGTTCTTTCTTCAAAACCTTTTAATTCAAATTTTATTGCACTATGATCCGAAATCACTCTTGGTTGAATTTCAATTTCCGAGATTCTTGGTGTTAATTCATTTGAGACCAATACCCAATATTCTTGACATGGATTGATTTGGTTCTGAGTAGAACGTAAACTGTTTCTCCAGTGGGTGTCTAAGTCTCCAAATGTCAATCAGATTGCAATTCTTTATCATTGAGAAAAAAGTCTTAGGTAATTTCCCATCTTTACTCACCCCTGTTGTTCTCAATCTATCCATTTCCACTGACACCACTCCATTCAGGTCTCCCATTATTATAATTTTCTGATCCATGTAATCAAACAATTTTTCTTCTTCTGTCTTATTTCCATTTGGTGCATAGATCCCGACAATTATTATTTTTTCTTCTTGCCACTTAATTTGAACTGCCATAACTCTGCCTTCTTCATCTTTGAAAATTTGTTGAGCCTCAATTTTTTTCCTGATATACAAAACTACCCCTCTCTTTTTACTCCTATCCAAAGATACAAATTCGTTTCCCAGTTTTTTATTAATTAATTTTTTTTATGTCTTATTGCCACATGAGTTTCTTGTAGACAGATGATATCCAAATTTTTCTTTTTTAAATGTTGTTCAATTTTATTTCGTTTTTTTCCCCCTCGTTAATCCCATTAATATTCCAGGTCCATAATTTTAACGCCATTTTCGCCATTTTAAATTCTTTATTACTAATTTTATAATCCGTCTACCTCTTCTTCTTCTTCTTCCTTCTCTTCTTCTTCTTTCTTTCTTTCTTTCTTCTTCTAGTTCGTCCAGGTCCACTCCTCCTGCAGCCTCCATTCATGGTGCCACTTCTAACAAGGGTGTCCAAAGGGCACCAAGTATATCCAAAGATAGGAAATATTTGGAGTCTCTTTCAGTATGTTTCTGTAAATAAACTTTAAATTTCTTCCAATCTACTTCCACCAACTCTTCTCCCTGGTCTCGGATTCTGTCAGTCATTTCCGCCAATTCCATGTAGTCCATCACCTTCATCTGCCATTCTTCCCGGGTGGGTAGATCTTGTGTCTTCCAATACTTCGCGATGAGTATTCTTGCTGCTGTTGTGGCATAAATAAAAAAGGTTCTATCCTTTTTTGGCACCAATTGGCTGACCATGCCCAGGAGAAAGGCCTCTGGTTTCTTCAGAAAGGTATATTTAAATACCTTTTTCATTTCATTATATATATATTTTTATAAAATGTTTATTAGGATTTTACAATAAACATAGGTTTAACAATCTAAAAGGAAAACATAGACAGGAAAAGAAAAAAGATAACAAGAAAAATACAAAAATTACCAAAAAAAAAAAAAAAGACCTAGCAGAAGAAGAAAAAAAAGAAAGAAAATACAAAATACAAAAAACAGATGGCTAAAAAAAAAAAATTAAAGAAAAATTAATTTTTCAATATCTTTAGGCTCATTTACTTATTTCCTTGACCTCCTCACACCTCCCCTTTTTGTATTCCCATTTACAAAATCCTTTCAGCAAATCCTTACCCTCTTTCATTTATCTTTACTCTGTGTCTTAACCTATTATAACTATATATTTTCGTCCATATGACCATCTATATTTGCACATTCTTTTTAACCTTATTACCAAAACCACTTATTTTCAATCCAACATCATTTTAACATTCATTAATTTTACAGTATTTCTGCAAATAGTCTTTAAATTTCTTCCAATCTTCTTCCACCAACTCTTCTCCCTGGTCTCAGATTCTGCCAGTCATTTCCGCCAATTCCATATAATCCATCACCTTCATCTGCCACTCTTCCAGGGTGGGTAAATCTTGTGTCTTCCAATACTTTGCAATAAGTATTCTTGCTGCTGTTGTTGCATACATAAAGAAAGTTCTATCCTTCTTTGCCACCAATTGGCCGACTATGCCCAGGAAAAAGGCCTCTGGCTTCTTCAAGAAGGTATATTTAAATACCTTTTTTAGTTCATTATAAATCATCTCCCAGAAAGCCTTAATCCTTGGGCACGTCCACCACAGGTGAAAGAATGTACCTTCAGTTTCTTTACATTTCCAACATTTATTATCGGGTAAGTGATAGATTTTTGCAAGCTTGACTGGGGTCATGTACCACCTGTATATCATTTTCATAATATTCTCTCTTAGGGCATTGCATGCTGTAAATTTTATACCTGTGGTCCACAACTGTTCCCAGTCAGCAAACATAATGTTATGTCCAACGTCCTGTGCCCATTTAATCATAGCAGATTTAACCGTCTCGTCCTGAGTGTTCCATTTTAACAGCAAGTTATACATTCTTGAAAGTATCTTTGTTTTAGGATCTAACAGTTCTGTTTCCAACTTTGATTTTTCCACCTGGAAGCCAATTTTTTTGTCTAAATTATAAGCCTCTCTTATTTGATAATAATGAAGCCAGTCTCGCACTTTGTCTTTTAGTTTCTCAAAACTCTGCAATTTCAATTTGTCTCCTTCTTGCTCCAAGATTTCCCAATATTTCGGCCACTTGGCCTCCATATTGAGCTTTTTCAGGGCCTTTGCCTCCATCGGTGACAACCACCTTGGGGTTTTATTTTCAAGTAAGTCTTTATATCTTGTCCAGACATTAAACAATGCTTTCCTGACAATATGGTTTTTAAATGCTTTATGTGCTTTAACCTTGTCGTACCATAAATATGCATGCCACCCAAAAACATTATTGAAACCTTCTAGATCCAAAATGTCTGTGTTCTCAAGAAGCAGCCAATCTTTCAACCAGCAGAATGCTGCTGATTCATAATAAAGTTTAAAGTCTGGCAGGGCAAATCCCCCTCTTTCCTTTACATCAGTTAATATTTTAAATTTTATTCTGGGCTTCTTGCCCTGCCAGACAAATCTAGAAATATCTCTCTGCCACTTCTTGAAACAATCCATTTTGTCCAGAATTTGTAGTGATTGAAACTACATCTCCCAGAATGTCTTAATCCTTGGGCACGTCCACCAAAGGTGAAAAAATGTGCCTTCAGTCTCTTTGCATTTCCAACATTTATTATCGGGCAAGTGGTATATTTTTGCAAGCTTGACTGGTGTCATGTACCACCTGTAGGTCATTTTCATTATATTCTCTCTTAGGGCATTACATGCCGTAAACTTCATACCTGTGGTCCATAACTGTTCCCAGTCAGCCATCATAATATTATGTCCTACATCTTGTGCCCATTTAATCATAGTTGATTTCATTGCTGATTTCACTGTTTCATCCTGAGTATTCCATTTCAACAGCAAGTTATACATTTTTGACAAATTCTTAATTTTGGAATCTAACAATTCTGTTTCCAATTTTGATTTTTCCACCTGGAAACCAACTTTTTTGTCCTCCCTTGCCCCCTTCCTCCACCACTGAGTAGTGTAAGATGTTTCAGTTTGGAACAGAGATTAAACCTTACACTAATAATTACACCAAGAATATCCTTTAACATACATTAGGCACCATTTTGAACCCTTGGCCATTCAATCATATTTGCCATCAAATTTATTAAAGCATTTGTTTTTTCATTATTTTCAATGCAGGCACATGTGGGTTTTGTAATCCACTTTACTAGTTAACAATAATCTCTGGGAAGTGCTGTTGAGGGGGCACTGAATGCAAATATTATCAGCAACCCACAAAATCCTGATGGTGGCCCTAAAATCCTTGCAGGGAATGTAATGACTCTTTGAATTAACCATGTTCACATACAAAACAGATACTTAGTTTCTCCATCTGAAGTAGATAGAAATCAGTGAAATCCTGTGGTTCACGTAGCAGATGATGTTCTTTATGCTTCTTTATCTCCTCCTTTGCAAATAAAAGCATAAACTCCCTAGAGGACAACGCCTTCTTGTGTGGCCCTGGAAGATGCTTCATGACTCAAGGGAACATTTCATAGAGCTTCAAGGGAAGTAAAAACAAAAACCAGTAATTACCATGAAGAAGCCCAGTAACATGTTCCATGACCCAACTTCTTTTGGACGCCTGTTTGGTATCATGGTTGAGATCAGCCTTTCCTAACCTGCTGGCATCCCGGTATCTTGGAGCTCAGTGAGTGAAGCATCTGTTTCTGATTCCCATATCCACTCGTTTTAGTAGAAGCTGTAAATGAAAATTTGACAGCTGAACAAATCACTCTCTGGAGAGCCAGTGTGAACAAATCTGAACAAATCACAGTGAACAGCTGAACAAATCACTGGAGAGCCAGTGTGGTGTAGTGGTTAAGAGCGGTAGTCTTGTAATCTGGGGAACCGGGTTCGCGTCTCCGCTCCTCCACATGCAGCTGTTGGGTGACCTTGGGCCAGTCACACTTCTTTGAAGTCTCTCAGCCCCACTCACCTCACAGAGTGTTTGTTGTGGGGGAGGAAGGGAAAGGAGAATGTTAGCCGCTTTGAGACTCCTGAAGGGGAGTGAAAGGCGGGATATCAAATCCAAACTCTTCTTCTTCTTCTTCTTCTTCTTCTTCTTCTTCTTCTTCTTCTTCTTCTTCTTCTCTCTCCCATATTACTGGTTCTATAGTATTTGTGGGAACATGGCTCTCCCAAAACATGCAAATTATATTTATTAATAACATATAAAAGCAATTATCTCTACAGGATTCCCATTGCCTTTGGGCAGTACCATCAGCAACCCAGCATATCTTCATGGATGTCTAGTGAACATACGGAGAACCTAATCCATTTACTCTGGATTAATTCGGGATTATGGTAATATGGAAGATATCACAGCTTCTCTCCCCTCCAGCAATCTTCCACATCCAAGGGAAGAGAGTAAAGCTTGTAATTTTATGGGCTTGAAAGAGAACATCTTTGTTTGAGACTCTGTGCTGTCATATGATTCCCTAAATCTTCCTGACACAGTGTATGTGGAAGGTGTTGAGGTGCTGCTTCTGGTTGGTGTTCTGTTCTGTCGGTGCTCTGTTATATCCCTAAGAAGACTATCATCCTCCTCCATCTCATATAAACAGAAATTTTACCTGCTCCCATTGTATAGGATTGCAGCCTTTTTACTAAAGTCGTACATTTTTCATAGTATTACAAAACTGCCTGTGTATTTATAAACACACATCCCAATGAATCATGTAGTGTGCTGAAAAAAACTATGCTGAGTTGGAGGACTCTGAAATGGGATTATTTATTGATTAGCTTCCTGGTTCATGTAGTAAAAAACAACGCTTATACAGTCATACCTTGTGTTGCGTCCGCTTCATGTTGCGTCTTTTTGCGTTACTTCCAGGTTCCGCCGCTCACGCATGCGCAGAAGCGCCAAATCACGCTGCGCAGACACAGCACTTTGAGTTTGGGGCATTTCACGTTACGGACAGGCCTCCAGAACGGATCCTGTCTGTAACACGAGGTACCACTGTATTCTGCTTTTTACACACACACACACACACACATATGAGAAAATAACAGGGTTTGTGGTAAGACAGTACCCTGAATGAGTGAAAGTGCTAGACTTATATGCAGACCAATCACGCTACTTGAAATAGTGAAATATGCCTATTTTGCATAAGAAAACTCTGCAATGGGGTGTCACTGCTAGTGGGCTGAGAAACTGGCTGGGTATTCTTCCCTTCCTGGTATTGACTAATACCCACATATTTTCAAGCCATTTCTTCTTATTTAATGCATTTTTGTAGGTTATTTTCACAAATGAATGCACTTATTGGCACAAATGTAGATGCATTTGTGTACAAAAATTATCTATAGTCTGATAGGGCCATGAGAAGGAAGAGATTGGAAAGAGAGGAGAAGCTGTGTGAATAGGAATGATCTGTGTGTAAGGGAGACAAAAGTAAGGAGAGGGTGGAGGAAAAAAGGGACTGAGAGTAAGAATGGGGATGCAAAGGAAGTTGCCCAAAAGGAGGGAGTAGGAGGCATGGGGAAAGGGATGAAGATGAAAGCAGAGGCAAAAGAACAGGATGAGATGGGGTGAAGGTGAAAATGGGTGCAATGCAGAGCTGCAGAAAATAAGAGAAGTGGCTTCAGAAATGGAGCTGCAAAGGTGAAAAGGCACCTCAGTAGTTGCATGGGATGAGATGGGAAGGGAAGGGGAAATTCTAGGGGGTTCATGTGTCAGGAGTGGCCAAGGGGTTGCTGAGTGAAGGAAGCAGGGGTGCAGCCCCTAATATTTTCCTATTTTATTGTGTGTTGCAGTGGAGAATTGCACTGAGTTTATAAGGATTAGGATGTGCTGTAGCCCCTGGTACAGCCTCATTATTGAGTTCTTTCACTCCATCTGGCAGCTGGAATAATAATAATAATAATAATAATAATAATAATACTTTATTTATACCCCAACCATCTGGCTGGGTTTCCCCAGCCACTCTGGGCGGCTTCCAACAAAATATTAAAATACAATAGCCTGTTCAACATTAAAAGCTTCCCTAAACAGGGCTGCCTTCAGACGTCTTCTAAAAGTCTGGTAGCTGTTTTTCTCTTTGACATCTGGTGGGAGGGCGTTCCACAGGGTGGGTGCCACTACCGAGAAGACCCTCTGCCTGGTTCCCTGTAACTTGGCTTCTCGCAGCGAGGGAACTGCCAGAAGGCCCTCAGCACTGGACCTCGGTGTCCGGGCAGAATGATGGTGGTGGAGACGCTCCTTCAGGTATACCGGAAACTGAATGCCCTCAGCAGGCTGGTCAGGAAGATGAACATTTCAATGTGCAAATGCCCATGGGAAGCCCTCAGCCAGGACCTCATGTCAATAGCCCTTAATATAGCTATTAATGATAAATTAACACATGCTATTAAGGTAAGACGGGGAATATGCAGGAGACACGGAAGGTGTTTGTAGAATTTGTGCAGCTAAAACAGAAAGGGGTCAAACTATCACAAGAGGTGTTGAAATTTTGGGAGGTTGGATAGTTACAATGGAATGGTCTCGGGGGTAGGGTGCACATTTTTATTCTTATTTATTTATTATCACTTTGTCAAAATAAAAAATAAAAAAATTAAAGTAGCAGCTGCTGCCCAAGAAAGAGAAAGAGAATTATTATTATTATTATTATTATTATTATCATTATCATTATCATAATTATCATTATTGCTATTACTGTTATTAAGTCAGTAGTACAAATGAGAAAAGCTTACTAGCAGCACTTCACATAGATGGAGGTAGCTTTTCCAAGGCCTTTACTTGTGAGTGTCTGGCTGATATATCTAACTATGCTATCAAAACCTTCATTGATCCCTGGCAAAGGGACTTCTGACCATAACACATATGCTTGACTCACGCCCTTTCTGGTTCATTAAGTTCAAGTGAGGAGCAATACAACATTTCTGCAGCATTAAACTATGGAATTTGCTCCCAGAAGATGTAGCGATTCCAATCAACTTGGATGGCTCAGAAAAAGAATCAGATAGGTTCATGGAGGGTGAAGCTATCAATGGGTACAAACCACAAGGGCTGTGTTCTGCCTACGCTGTGGCTATGGATATCACTTTCTGGAAATTGTAAGTGAGGAGAGTGCTGTTGCATTCAGTTTCCTGTTTGGAGGCTTCCCACAGACATCTGGAGGACTAGACGGGTCCTATCTTGCCTGGTCCAGCAAAGTTCCTCTTATGTCTTTCTACTCTTATTAAGCAACGGAAAATATAAATGTGCAAGCAACTGACACCTTCACATGGCCAACAGCATGCTGCCGTCCGGTTTGAATATTGTGAGATGGGTTTTACACTAAAAGGGGGAAAGTGTCTATTTTAAGCAATGACAGAAGTTTGAGTAAAGTAGGACTAGAGGGACATTGAGAGGAAAATGGTGCTTTTAAACAAAATCAGAGGTTTGCATTGCCACGGGGAATAGCACAGAGTTTATAAGGATGGGGATGTGTTGTAGTCCCAAGTAAAGGCTCTTGATTGAGTTCTTTCACTCCTTCTGGCAGTTGGAAGCTGAATGTTCTCAGCAGGCTTGTCAGGAAGATGAAGATTTCGATCTTTGCCAGCTGCATTCCCAAACATATGCGAGACCCTGAGGATGGGACAAGTGAAAGACAGCAAGTGAGTAATAATTTACTTTTCAGTGTCAATTACTTCGCAGCTATAAAACATGCTATACTGTATAATACTTTGGAGAACTAGACATAGGAAAGTGAAATAATGAAGAAGAAGAAGAAGAAGAAGAAGAAGAAGAAGAAGAAGAAGAAGAAGAAGAAGAAGAAGAATTTGTTATTTATACCCTGCCCATCTGTCTGGGTTTCCCCAGCCACACTGGGCAGCTTCCAACCGAATATTAAAAACATGATATAGCATTAAACATTAAAAACCTCCCTAAAAAGGGCTGCCTTCAGATGTCTCCTAAAAGTATTATAGTTGCTTATTTCCTTGACATCTGCTGGAAGGGCGTTCCACTGGGCAGGCATCACTGCCGAGAAGGCCCTCTGCCTGGTTCCCTGTAACCTCACATCTTGCAGTGTGGGAACTGCAAGAAGGCCCTTGGAGCTGGACCTCAGTGTCCGGACTGAAGGATGGGGGTGAGGACGCTCCTTCAGGTATACTGGGCCAAGACCCTTTAGGGCTTTAAAGGTCAGCACCAACACTCGGAAACGGAGTGGGAGCCAATGTAGGTCTTTCAGGACCAGTGTTATATGGTCTCGGCGGCCACTCCCAGTCACCCGTCTAGCTGCCGCATTCTGGATTAATGCAGTTTCCGAGTCACCTTCAAATGTAGCCCACGTAGAGGGCATTGCAGTAGTCTTACAGTGTGGGAACCTCCAGAAGGCCCTCGGTACTGGACCTCAGTGTCCGGGCTGAACGATGGGGGTGGGGAAGCAAATGTGTGGGCTTTTACTATGGTAGGGGAAGAGGGAAATTTTGGAAGGAACCCACAAGGGCCTATTTTAAAGGATATGTTTCCATGCTTTACTTTCCTACATGTTTGTAATTTTAAATCTTTGTTGAGGTTCTCTCACCAAAAAGTACTTGCCCCATACCTGGATCTTGGCAGCCAAGGAATTCTCCTTTCTATGCACCTATTTTTGCCTTGACACCAATAAGAACATGTTAAACAATACTGTATAATCGTTTAAAGATGAACTAGTCCTTTTTTTAATTTATAACATTCTCGTCAACAATTGAATAGGCATAATTCTTTGTGTTAAAAAGTCAACAGGAGCCTTTAAGTTATCAGTGAGGATGTCTGCTGAATACTTGCAGGCATGGCGCAGACAACAATGCCTGGCTCCTGACACAGAGGGTGCAAAAATATTCCTTTGTTCTTTGAAAATTGAAACCTGAACATACACCAGCCTCCTCTACAGTTCAGAGTGCGAGAAGTACGGAAGTGGGGTAGTTTAACTGCAGACTCAGTTCTGAGTATAGTTTCATAAAAGGCTAAATTACATTCCATGAAAAGAGGTGGGGGAGCTTTAGCCTTGTCACCTGAAAAGAAGTTGGATGGCATCCAGCAGTGACGTGTGAAAGGGAGCAACAGCACCCTGGTGCTGGGAGTGTTACCTCTCTCAGGGACAGGGCAGTGGGGTGGCAAGTGTGAAGTGTGAACCCCATAAGGGTTTGGGTACCTGTGAGTCCAAAATCAGCCACCCAGAAATTCCCTAAATTATCAACAGCCTTGCCCCATCCTGCTGACCAGCAGTGCCACTCCTGCCAAGGGGATATTGCATCCATTCTGCCCTACTCTCTTGCTGATGATGATGTCATTTCCTGGAAGCCAACCAATAAGCATGTCTATAGACCCCAACTCAGCTTGGACTTTTGCATTCACCTGCACCAAATGGCAGATATTCTTCTCTGTCAACAAATTGTCCATTCTTGTCCAAGAAATGATTTGGGTTGAACTCTGCAGGAGTCTCCCATCGTGTTGGATCAAGAAGAACAGAGCGCAGATCAAGAAGAATGGCAGTCCCCTGCAAATAAGAAAGAATTAACTTGGAATGCATTCAGATCAACACATTCCAGGATTCTCCCTCACTCTCCCAGGACGAATCTTTGCAGAGTTCAAACTGAATGGAGTTTTGGGGGGACAGGTGGGTATTTAACAATGGCCATATTCATCCTCAACTTTTTTCTATTTAAAAAAATATTTCTATACAAGCAGAAACACAGCAGGGCCTCCCGCAACACCTGTTTCAAAAAGGCCTCGCTGAGACCTTTGGCCACTGCATGCTCCTCTGAGGTGCCACATGGCCCCAGGAATAGCACTAGTGAAACATGTCTGCAGATGGAACTCCTGTTTTAGACTACACAAGAAGTTCCTGCATGGCTGGGGGCATCTCTGAATATGCAACCTACTCATAGACTCTTGGGATACAGGCGTGCAGCTGTATCACTCTTCTTTACCTTGGGAAAGAGAAAACCACGCATCTTCACATCCTTTGTACATTGCCTAGGAACCCCCATAAATAAGGCATATTTAAAGCGCTGCATTTCATGAATCACAGCATTGGTGTAGGGCAGTTTCTTCTTATCTTGATAGCAGATTGTGTGAGAAGAACCTAAAGCATCTTCTATTTCCTTATGGACTTTATCTGAAGAAAATTACAGAAACAGAAGGTTTATTTTGAATATATAAACTTCATTCTTCCCCCAGTACTTGGCATGGGCAGTGTTAAAGGGCTAGAGCGGTAGCCAGAAGATGAAATGGAAAACAGATAATCCACATTCTTCTTTTGTCTTTGCGCTCCAGTGCTCAAGGGGTGTGGTGAAAATGAATTGCTGAGAGGAGAATCACATTGTTCTGTTCTTTGGTGTTTTTTTACTCTGGGAGGCGTGCAGTTTGCCACCCAATTTTGTTTTGCTTTTTTCCCTCTGGAAGTGCTTCCCAATGATTTCCTGTGTTTACTCCCGAGTAAGCAAACTTTGGATTCAACCCAGTAAGTTTTGCTAATAGGAGAGGAAAATACATATTCCCCCACAATGCAGTTTTAGCAGTTTCTGTTGTGTCTCTAGGCTCTTCCTCTCCTGTGTATTCTTCTGCTTATTCTTTTAAGCACCAACCACTTGTCTTCTGGAACACGCTGCACTCCCTTCATCACTGAGTTGCCCTTTTGAGTTAATTCTCTAGTTCTGTGATGACATGTGTGCATGTGACAAGAAGAGCATTGTACATGTTTCCATGCTACATTCACACATTACGCTTCCTGCTGTTTCATTCATGCATGCCTTTCAAACTAAGGTTGAATGGTGCTTTTTTTCCATTGCCAGATGAGAAGAACACTTTCCAGAAAGCTTTTCACTGTGACACCCGAAACCCTTTATGGACAGTGGATTTGGCCCCTATTGGATCTGATGTGATATTCTAGATTGCTGAGAGAGAGAGAGTTTGCAGCGTGCTGGGATTTGGAAAAAGACAAGCTAAATTCTTGGATTGAGAGGGCCTATAGGTTTGGGCCAAAGAAAGACTCAAAAATTGTACATGACTGTATAGTGGTTTTCAAGACAAAGAAACAGAGGGACAATATTTTGGGTCTACACTATAGAAAAATATTAATTAAAACAATTGTTTTGTTCAAGGAGTTTCCAAAACATTTTCGGAACTTAAGGAATAATTACACAGATTTGGCTGGAGCTCTGAGAAGGAAGAATATCTTCTTCAGGTGGGAATTTCCAAAGGGCCTCTCCTTCAAATTTCAAAGAAGGAAACAAAGAATTAGGACCATTGAAGAAAAACCAAGGTTTTTGGGGGAAAACGTTAAGGATCTCAGATTGGAAAGCTCACAGGCACCAGGGGCAGGGGCAGGAGCTCCCTAATAGTACAAGATGGCACTGGGAATTTACTCCTGGAATGTTAATGGTTTGAACTCACGTCCAAAAAGAAACCAAGTTTATCATGTGTTAGCAAAACAGAATTTGGACATAATTTGTCTGCAAGAAACTCATGTTACTAGACTGCATAGAAAAGGTGCTAACAGATTATATCCATAAGGACCAGGCAGGATTTCTGCCTGGGAGACATATGAAATATAATATTAGGAATATAATCAATGTGTTAGAAAGGTTGGAACTTTTAAAAAATTGTAAATGTTCATTGATGCTGAGAAGGTCTTAGATAATGTCTCACGGAGTTTTATCAAAAGGAATTTAGAAAGTATTGAGATTGGACAAGAATTTTTAAATGGTATTAATGCAATCTATTTTGAACAAAAAGCCAAAATTGTAGTAAATACTGTGGTTTCAGAAGAAATTAGAATTGAGAAAGGAACGAGGCAAGGGTGCCCACTTTCCCCTCTGCTTTTTATTTCAGTTCTGGAGGTTTTGCTAAACATGGTAAGGAAAGAGGAAGAGGTTAAAGGTATAACAGTAGGATCTAAACAATATAAATTAAAAGCCTTTGCTGATGATTTGGTGTTAACTTTACAAGATCCAGATTCCATTGCAGTAAAAGCACTGGAACTAATACAGAAGTTTGGGCAAGTAGCAGGATTTAAGATAAATAAGAACAAAACCAAAGTGTTGGGGGAAATTTTAGATAATGAGGAGAAAAAAATCCTACAGGAAAAGACAGGCCTTGTTTCTGCGAAGAAAGTGAAATATTTGGGTGTGAATTTATCGGTGAAAATTTTGAATTTATATAAAGATAATTATGAAAAATTATGGAATGAAATTAAGAGAGATCTTGAGGTTTGGTCAAATTTAAATCTGTCATTAATGGGCCAAATATTGGTGGTTAAGATGAATGTTGGGACGTGGGTGGCGCTGTGGGTAAAACCTCAGCGCCTAGGACTTGCCGATCGCATGGTCGGCGGTTCGAATCCCCGCGATGGGGTGCGCTCCTGTCGTTCGGCCCCAGCGCCTGCCAACCTAGCAGTTCGAAAGCACCCCCGGGTGCAAGTAGATAAATAGGGACCGCTTACCAGTGGGAAGGTAAACGGCGTTCCATGTGCTGCGCTGGCTCGCCAGATGCAGCTTGTCACGCTGGCCACGTGACCCGGAAGTGTCTGCGGACAGCGCTGGCTCCCGGCCTATAGAGTGAGATGAGCGCACAACCCTAGAGTCTGTCAAGACTGGCCCGTACAGGCAGGGGTACCTTTACCTTTAAGATGAATGTACTGCCAAAGGTGCTGTTTTTATTCCAAGCCTTACCAATTATCAATAATGTAAGATGTTTTAAAGAATGGCAGAAAGCAATGTCTAAATTTATCTGGCAGGGGAAAAAACCCAGAATTAAATATAAAATATTAACAGATTCTAAAGAGAGAGGGGGATTTTCCCTGACAGATTTGAAGATATATTTTTAAGCGGTGGCTTTCTGCTAGATCAAGGAATGGATTCAACTAGACAATGTTGATGTGTTAGATTTGGAAGAATTTGACAATGTATTTGGGTGGCATGCATATCTATGGTATGATGAGATACCGGCTCATAAAGGTTTCAAAAATCATGTAATTAGAAAATCACTATATAATGTTTGCATAAGATATAAAGATCTCTTAGAAAGGAGAACACCCAGGTGGCTTTCACCAATGGAAGCAAAGGCACAGAAAAAGCTGGATATGGAGTGTAAATGGTTGAAATATACAGATTTATTCTTGGAAGATAATGAAGGATTTAAATTGAGACAATTTGACCAAATTAAAGATAAATTGGATGGATGGTTGCAATATTATCAGATTAATGAATTGTATAAACTTGATAAGAAAAATGGTTTTGCGACAGAAAAATCCAAATTGGAAATGGAATTGTTAGATACTGTGATGGGATGATGAGCTGCTTGTGCGTAAAAACGTATCCCCTCAGAGTTTGTTCAAGTCCACAAACCTCTGTCTGTGACGGAGCCCCTCAGACATGGCTGCTCTAGTCACTAGCAGATTCCGACAGTGGTTGCTTTCGTAATCGCTTCCAACATAAAAGCTCCTTAACGGAAACACGTCTTCTGGAATCTCTGCGTGACAGTTTCCGGCGAGGAGTGGGTGTTCTTACAGGAGGTTCTGAAACCTCCCCACTGTTTTCGCTGGAAGTGTCTCTGAGCCATCCCTCCAGCTCAGCTCCTCTCCCCTGCTGGTTCCTTCTTCAGCTGCTGCGTCTCTCCCAACCTGTGTGAGCCCTTTCACCTCCCTGTTGGTTCCCTCTTCAGCTGCTGCGTCTCTCCCAACCTGTGTGAGCCCTTTCACCTCCCTTCCGTCCGATGGCAGTTCCCTGACAGATACCAATGTTAAAAATCTCTCTAAAATGTACAATTTCCTGATGGAATGGCATACAAAGGATGAACAAGTTAAATCTGTGGTGACTGACTGGGCAAGAGATGTTGGAAACAATATAATGTTGGAAGATTGGGAAAGGTTGTGGAAGAAAGGGGTTAAGTTTACTGCATGTACTGTATTAAAAGAAAATATTGTGAAAATGATGTATAGATGGTACTTAACCCCAGCAAAATTAGCAAATATTTATCACACAAATGACAATCTATCTTGGAAATGCAAAGAAAAAGAAGGTACGTTTTTATCATATGTGGTGGACGTCTCCCAAGGTGAAGGACTTCTGGGAAAAGATTTATAATGAGTAGAAAAAAATGTTGAAAAATACATTTATTAAGAAACCAGAAGCCTTTCTACTTGGAATAATAGAATTGGAATTGCCCAGAAAAGATGTTAGATTGTTTTTGTATGCCACTACAGCGGCAAGACTGCTATTAGCCAAAAACTGGAAATCGCAAGAGATACCAACAATAGAAGAATGGCAGATGAAGATGTTGGACTTTCTGGAGCTGGCCGACCTGACTGGAAGAATCCATGACCAGAAAGAGGAGGAGATACATAAAGATTGGAAGAAATTTAAAGAATATTTAGCTAAATATTGTGATATAAGATAATTAGAAAATTCTTGGAAGTAACGAATAGGCTTAGGGGTAGAATAAGAACATGTGTTAGTAAATATCAAGGATTAGAATATTAATAAAGGAGAAGAGGTTAGTAAATGATAGGAGTTAATATTATTAGAAATATGAATTTGGAGAACTGTTATACAAGTGATATAAGGAAATTCAGTTAGAGGGTATTCTAGGAAGTCAGTTAACAATGTTATGAAAATTAGGTAGCTGAAGAAGTAATTGGTTTTTGTGTTAAGTTTTTTGTATTGAAATGTGTTTTTATTTGTTGTGTGTTTTCTAACGTCATTTTTGTTATAAATGTGGAAAACTAATTAAAAAATTGGAAAAAAAGTTCAACATGAGTCAACAGTATGATGCAACAGGAAAAAAGGCCAATGCTATTCTAGGCTGCATCAGCATAAGTGGTGTTGTTGTTGTTAATTACATTTATATACCGCCCTATACCTGGGTGTCTCAGGGTAGTTCACAGAATAAAGAGTATAGGGAACTTCTGCCTTGTTCAGACCACAGTTCTGTGTGCAGTTCTGGGTACCCAAGTTTAAAAAGGAAATTGACAAATTGGAACGTGTGCAGAGAAAGGCAACCAAGATGATCAAGTGTCTAGAAACCAAGCCTTATAAGTTGAGGGAGCTGGGTAAGTTTAGCCTAGAGAAGAGGAGAGGAGAGATGATAGCCATCTTCAGATACAGTGATACCTCAGGTTGCAGATGCTTCAGGTTACAGACTCTGTTAACCCAGAAATAGAACCTCAGGTTAAGAACTTTGCTTCAGGATGAGAACAGAAATTGGGTGGTGGCAGCAGCGGGAGGCCACATTAGCTGAAGTGGTACCTCAGGTTAAGAACAGTTTCAGGTTAAGAACGGAACTCTAAAAGGAATTAAGTTCTTAACCCAAGGTACCACTGTACTTTAAGGGCCATCACATGGAAGATGGAGCAAGCTTGTTTTCTCCTGCTCCAGAGGGTAGGACTCGAACCCATGGTTTCAAGTTACAAGAAAAGAGATTCCACTAAACATCAGGAAGAACTTCAATAATCAATAACAATTAACTGACACAAGAATTACAGTCCACTCTAGAGATCAAAGGAAGCCGTGCACAGGTCTCCCTCTCTCACCTTGGATATCTGGATGACTTGCCAGGAGGAGAAGTGCCCATTTCAGAGAACTGGTGACTGTGTCTGTCCCTGCTACAAAGAGCCCAGAAATACTAAAAGCCATATTTTCTTCATCATAGGTGGACTCTGGGTCGTTTTTGCTCTGATTTTGAAAACAGGGAAAGTGACATGTCATTTACATGCATTACAATCTGTCCTTCAGCACTTATTTTATCTTACTCCCCCTGCTCCTATTAGCATACCACCAACACATGCTTCATGAGGGGTGAGGTGTCCTCTTACACTGCCTGAGGAGAAATAAGAAGGTGCCACCTCCACTGCCCTGCTGTCACTGCCACCTCCCTTACTTTGGTCATACAGCAGTGCCCACAATGTGCTAACAACAACAGTGAGGACAGTGAGATCTTGCAAGCGTTTGGTGAAATCTTGCAGGAGGAAGGCAAGAAGAAAAAATATTTTGACCTTTCTAGTGTAGAAATAAATGAGGTAGGAGTTTGAAGTCATATTTAGTTTAGGAACATTTTCTTTAGGATTTGTTTGGTCCCCTGCTGATGAAAGTGAGGAGTGATTTTTCCTCTTGCTATGCATTGTAATGTGTAATGAAACATCTGCCACAAGACACTTGGTGAGTTGGCCATTCATACTATTTGGGCATTCTTACTGTTTGGGCACCACAGGCAACATTTCAGTGGTGAGTATGTTCCCATGAGGTATAACAGGGGTTTTCAAACATTTTTGCCCACTGCCCTGTTGGATCCATCATCTGATCTCCAGTGCCCACTACCCTAATAAAAAACATTATTCAGAATAGTGGTTTGCACAACTCACTAAGAAAAATAATAATCCAATAAAATTGAAAAAAGTAACTCAATGTCATTTTCAACTGAGATTCAGGAAAAAAATATTGGTGTCCTTGGAAGAGATTAGTATTCACGTATAACAGGAAATATAATGATTCCTTGGATGAGCAGCATTCAGTTTCAAAGCAGATACTTACTTTCTCCATCTGAAGTAGATAGAAATCAATGAGATCCTGTGGATCATGCAGAGACTGATTCTCCTTATGCTTCTCTATCTCCTCCTTTGCAAATGAAAGCACCATCTCCATGCAGGACAAGGCCTTCTTGTGGGGCCCTGGGAGATGTTTCATGAGCCATGGGAGCATTTCATAAAGCTAAAGGAAAGATAGCAGAAATGCCGTCATTACCATGAGGAAGCTTGGTCATGCAGTTCATGGGTCAATTCATTTGAATTAGCACTTAAAACATGACCCAAATTATTCTTCAGAGCTAGCACATTAGTTTGAGTCTCCCTGAGAAGAAGGTAGGAGTCTGCAGCTTCTCTTGAATCTCAGAATGACTGGTTCTGGGAAATATCTCTAGCCGAATATGTGAAAGAAAACTAGGGGTCAAAGTATTTTTCTAGCTCCCAGGCTTCATTCAAAACTGGGCACAATCCCAGGCCATTTGTTGGGAGGTGGGGGGTTGCTGGAGAATACAGATGGGGAGACATTCAAGTCAGTTCACATTTAAGAGTAAATTTGCCTAATATGCAAATTGAAACACAGCCAGCCTTTGAAATGTGCAGTCCTCCAAATCTTGCAATGCCGTTTTATTTTATTTTATTTTATTCCCCAGTCAAGTAATGCCCATATCTTCCTTCAAAAAATCAAACAAAGATGAGAGCTGTTTCCTAGTTCTGCTGGATCTCTCAGCGGCCTTTGACACCACTGACCGTAACATCCTTCTGTACCGTCTAGAGGGGCTGGGAGCTGGGGGCACTGTTATACAGTGGTTCCGCTCCCTTCTCCTGGGCTGTGTTAAGAAAGTGGTGTTGGGGGGTGAGTGCTCAGACCCTTGGGCTCTCTCACGTGGGGTGCCTCAGGGTTCCGTCCTCTCCCCCATGCTTTTTAATACCTATATGAAGCAGCTGGGAGAGATCATCAGGGGGTTTGGGCTGGGTGTTCATCAGTATGCAGATGACATCAAGCTCAAACTCTCTTTTAAATCAAAACCAGTGAAGGCAGTGAAGGTCCTGTGTGAGTGCCTGGACGTCGTTGGAGGATGGAGGATGGTTAACAGATTGAGGTTGAATCCTGACAAGACAGAAGTACTGTTTTGGGGGGACAGGTGGCGAGCGTGGGGGGGGGGACTCCCTGAGCCTGAATGGGGAAACTGCACCCCTGAAGGACCAGGTGCGCAGCCTGGGACTGACAGCAGTCCATGGAGGCGCAGGTTAATTCTGTGTCCAGGGCAGTGGTCTACCAGCTCCACCTGGTACGCAGGCTGAGACCCTACCTGCCTGCGGACTGTCTCGCCAGAGTGGTGTGTGCTCTAGTTATCTCCTGCTTGGTCCTACTGCAATGCGCTCTATGTGGGGCTACCTTTGAAGGTGACCCGGAAACTGCAATTAATCCAGAATGTGGCAGCTAGACTGGTGACTAGGAGTGGCTGCCGGGACCACATAACACCGGTCCTGAGAGATCTGCATTGGCTCCCAGTACGTTTCCAAGCACAATTCAAAGTGTTGGTGCTGACGTTTAAAGCCCTAAACGGCCTTGGTCCTGTATACCTGAAGGAGCGACTCCATCCCCATCGTTCAGCCCAGACACTGAGATCCAGTGCTGAGGGCCTTCTGGCGGTTCCCTCATTGCGAGAAGTGACGTTACAGGGAACCAGACAGAGGGCCTTCTCGGTAGTGGCACCTGCCCTGTGGAATGCCCTCCCTTCAGATGTGAAGGAAATAAGTAGCTATCTTATCTTTAAAAGACATCTGAAGGCAGCCCTGTTTAGGGAAGTTTTTAATATTTAATTCTGTATTTTTTATCACTTGATTCGAAGCCGATCAGAGTGGCTGGGGAAACTGAGCCAGATGGGCGGGGTATAAATAATAAATTATTATTATTATTATTAAACCTTTAAGAAGGGAGTTTTCCTCTTTCCTAGTTTTCTCATTAAAGATAAATTACTTATATTTTCTGAATAAACCTCTCTAGCAAACACTTCGGAGGTTGGGTTTCTTCCATTGCCTTTCCTTACAATAACTTTGTTCCCAATAACAAAGAATATTAAATAAGACAAATACATATCCTGGGTTTGCATCATGGCAATCTGAGGTGAGAGGGCGGAGAATAGAGCCGATCCCCATATAAATAAATGCTAGCCAAGAGGTCTCAGAGTAATGAGACTTCCGGTTTACCATGGAGCCAAGTGCAAGCGGGCTTCAGCCGTCTGGGGAGAATCCAGCTTTTTGGGGGGAAATGGGGGCTTTGCAAGGGCGTCGCAAGCCCCCAAAAACCTCAGGAGGAAGATTCTGAGGGCAGGTTCCCAGCTAGCCGAGGAGCGGTCTCTCCGCTGCCTGAAAAGCCCCTTTTAGGAGCAAAAAGAGCAGCGAGATTGAGACACCGGCGCTGGACACCATTTTCTACCCTCGAGAAGCGCAGCCTCAAGCTTACCTGGCACAGCGGTAGATTCAGAAACAGTAAAAAATCCAGATTTAATTGGTGGAAATAGTTGAAAAAAAGGGATTAAGAATGATTCGGAAGCAGCAGGGTGGTAAAAAGGAGGTCAGCCCCGACTGGGATCTTATTTATATGCAAGAAGTACCCACGGAACAAAAAACAGTGAGTTGTCCTACAGCGGAATATTTAATTTAATATAAACACTTTACTTAAGACTGTGTATTAAACAAAGGAGGGGGGCGAAAGCCCTTATTAAGGGTTTTTTTTGTCTTTTTTGTGGGTTTCTGGGACTGCAGGAGGAGAGTCTTCCTGGAAATTTATTACTTTAGTTTTTAGAGAACTGCGTAGTTAACTGTTAAGAAGCCTCATGGTGGAATTTTTTCTTCTTTATTTTTTACATGCCAAAGCAGCATTTTGAGATACTGCCAAGCCCAAAATGAAATAGAAATATTTGCTATTATCTGGTTCTTTATTTTGTTTTATTTTATTTTATTTTATTTGGAGGAAAGCTGAGTAAGAAGAAGAAATTGTTTACCCACTCTCCCCTTCCTGCTTCTGACTTAGCTGATGTGGACATTGGAGTAGAAGGACTTTGACATTTTTACATTTTATGGTGCCAGACTGTGCTCTCGGGGATGGATTAATTTTGGTTTTGCTTTTGAAAATCTCTGGCTCTGCTGCTTTGGTGAAGAGAATTTTCTTTTTTCCTTTTTGCTCTTTTTTATTTTTTTCTCCTTTTCTCCTTTTTTTCGTTTCTCTTTTTTGTTATTCACTGATTTTTTTTTCTTGGGATTACTGGATTAAAATTTGGCTGGTATGGTTTTGTTGGAATTTTGATTAAAGGATTGGATTGGCCAGGCAAGTGGCGAAAGAATATTTTTATTATTTTTTGTTGTTCCTTTGGTGGTCCCTATTTTTTTTCTTCTGATTGTCTCCTTCATTGTTCTTCTTTTCAATATTATTATTATTATTTGCTTATTCTGATTATTTATTAAGACATTACGTTGGATTAGCCAAACAAGAGGCAGAAAACTTTCTTCTTTCTCCTTTAATTGTTTATTTTAAAGAAATTTGGCCTTCCAAAGATTCTTAATATACACCTAGTGGCAGGAAGAAGAGAAACAATGTCTCAGACACAGAAAAAAACAGGAGAAAGTGGGACAACTTTGGAAAGAAGAGGATCGAAACAGGAAACTGAATTTAAGGGAGACATTTTAAAAATGTTCACAGAAATTAAAAAAGACATTAAGTTTAAATTTACAAGTGTTGATGAAACACATAAATTTCTGAGAAGATACAAAGAGCTGGGAAAAGGGGAGGAAGCAACAGTGGCAGGAACAGCAGGTCCGGTAGGATTGGAAGAAGAAGAAAAGGATAATAAAGAAGAAGAAGAAGAAGAAGAAGAAGAAGAAGAAGAAGAAGTGGAAGAGGAAGAAGGACAGGTTTAAGACTTTTATACTTTTACTGGTAAAGGGGACACAAAATGGCACTGAAATTATGGACATGGAATGTTAATGGAATTAATGACAAAAGGAAAAGAAAGAAAATGGAACATTTCCTTTAAAAAAAGAATTTGGATATTATTTGTCTACAAGAAACTCATGTGGCAAGAAGGCATAGAAGAGTTCTGATTAATAAAAAATTGGGAAATGAATTTGTTTCATCAGACAGAAGCAGGAAGAGAGGAGTGGTTTTGTATATAAAAAATAAATTTGAGGCTCAGCAAATATTTAAAGATGAAGAAGGTAGAATAATTGCGGTACAAGTCACATGGCAAGGCGAAAAATAGATAATAGTCGGAGTGTATGCACCAAATGGAAGTAAAACAGAATTTTATAAAGATTTAAAAGAAAAACTTTTGAATTTGTGGATCAGAAAATTATAATAATGGGTGATATGAATGGAGTGGTTTCAATGGAAATGGATAGGTTGAGGCCAAGAGAAAAATTGGAGGAAGGAAAACTACCTAAGACTTTTTTTTTCAATGACTGAGAACTGTAATTTGGTAGATGTTTGGAGATTAAGACACCCATTAGAAAAACAATTTACTTATTTCTCAGAACCAAATCAACCAATGTCAAGAATAGATTATGTGTGGATATCCAGCGAGTTAACACCAAGAGTGACAAAAATAGAAATACAACCAAAAATACTTTCGGATCATAATGCAATAAAATGTGAAATAAAAGAAATGGAGGAAAAAACCTTTCGATGGAGATTAAATGAGAACCTATTGGAAGATCAAAAAATAAATGAGAAAGCACAGAAAAACTTAACTGATTACTTTGTGAATAATTGTAACAAAGGAACAGAAATGAGTGTAGTATGGGATGCTAGCAAAGCAGTAATGCGAGGCTTTTTTATACAGTAGAACACTATCAGAAATAAATTTAGAGAAAAGGGGGGGAAAGAAATATTAAAACAAATAATGGAAAATTAGAAGAAATTAGTTAAAAACCCAAATAATGTGAAAATAAAACAGAATATTAAAATACTGCAAAGTCAATTTGCAATGATAATAAATCGAGAAGTAGGGTGGGCGCTAGGGGCACTTTGGAAGATGCCCGACAATACCATCTCTCTGGCTCACACGAGGTAATTAAGAGGCTAATGATGGGAGTAAATTAGCCTCCCGAATTTTCCCAGGGGATGGGAAAATGCTGCCTCGTCCGCGGTTGCCAATAAATCACCCCCGAGTTCGAACGAAGGACGGGGTGGGGGCACTGGACAGAAAGCCCTCGAGTGAGTTTTTGGATCTCCTGGACGCTACTTCTAATGGCAATCCTGGTTGCATTGCTCAAGATAAACAATTGGAGAAGAGTAAATGCACATGTTTCGAGCGAAGGAAAGGCTGTACTGATTGCTAATTAAATCAACCACTGAGAAGCTGAGTGACGTGTTGGACTGAATAGAAGACTACATCAAAGAATCACAGCTATGTCGGTATGTTGAAATGGATCGGAAGGGGGGGACTTTTCTCTTTTTCAATATGATTTACCTAACAACCCCCCCCCCCAAGAAGAACCGCCACATGATTGATAGCAAGTGAGATGGGAAAATAAACTGTGTGGAAACAAAATTATTAACCAAAGACTTTGTTTTGCGGAAGATCTGGAAAGGAAACGAAAGGCTTTTGGTGTGACGCAGTTCTAATGGGGAACCGCCATTATGAGACAGACTTGGTTGCAAGATTTACAGTCAAAGGGGGAGAGGTGCTACGGTTTTGTTATCATATCTGAATTCCACGGCTGAATTGCCAACAACTCCCCTGGAAAGGCTGATTTATGGAGCAACTGGTCTGGGAAAGTTAATGAGCAGATGCTTGGACTGTATTTTATGGGAACTGAAATCGTGCCTGCTGTTTGAATAGGACTTTTGGATCAGCGTGAAAACCCACACAGGACTATAATAATGTTTGCTTCAACTCGCTTGTGGAGATAACTCAGAGGTTATTAAGAAGAAAAATGATAACAACAAGAAGATTGGAAGATGGGGTTTGTAAAGGATAACAACAAAGAGATAGAAAGATGGGACTTGTGAACATCAAAGCAGCAGAAATATGAGATGATTGGACCCTTTCTGAGCTCGAAGCATGGGTACCCCCAACAAAAATTTAAAATTCGGCTAAATGTTTGGAGTTTATTATGTATTGGTATAATTTGGAATTAATGTGATATGATTAGCTTGTTAATTGGAAATTTAATAAAAATTATTTTTTAAAAAAAGATAATAAATAGAGAAGTAGAATGGAATAGGGGACTTCCGGGGTGGTGCCATCGGTAATGGCGGATTCCCTCTGATCCGGAGGGACTGGCTCCACGGAAAACGGGTCTTTCCCGCTACGGCGAAGCAGGGACCCTTTGAAAAATCACAGGCGGATGAAGCCTGTGACCATGGGACTCGGCGGGCACCTTTCACGCCCCCCCACTCGTAAAGGAACCCAGTTACGGGCTCCGGAGCGAAGAGGGGCAAGTGGCACGGTGCTGAGAGTCAACTGCTTCTTCCGTGGAGCGAAGCCGCACAGCCGTTGCCGGAGAGTGCTGCCTTTTTCCTGGGACAATTTGGCTATTAAAACAACTACCCGTGAGTAGCTTAAATTCGGACAATTGGACTTGAAACAATGACTTGTGAATAGAAAGGAAAATTGGACTAAGAAATCCTTCTTAATTTGGCACTGAAATGGGAAGGTCTAAACAGGAAGTCAGCCTTCCGTTTCTTGTAGATAGATTAAAGCAAAGACATGGCAAACTAGAGTTCAGAAAATCGTTTGTAAAGGATTAACTTTCATCATCTAAAATTGTTGAACCCCTTCGGAAGCAGGAGAAGAGGGGGATTTTTCCGGACTGTTTAAACCTGCAGAAGAGAGTGTAAAGAAAAGTAATTTTCCACCGTCTTGAACCTGGGAGCGGGGTGTCAGGACTGACGTTTTTGGGAAGTTCATTGACTATAGACAAACGTCTTTGACAGACAGTTAAAAGAAGAGAAACATAGTGATTCCATTGTTCTCCTTCGCATTTTAAAGGAGCAAATATCGACAAAATATCTGAAAAAGGAAACCTTGTTGTTAGATCTGCTTTTAAAAGAAAAAGAAAAAGAAAAGAGATGGATACAAATAGAAGTTCTTCCCCTAGAGGGAGCCTGTGAAACTGTTACTAAATTTGAACTGGGGAGCTCTGCAACTGCAACAGATTAAGATCGTGGGAACAGACTTCTGACCTTGTATAACAATGTATTCAGAAGCTCTGGTGCGTGCTTTCTGCAAAACAAGTGCCTTACTGGAACAGTTACATGAGAAGACGGACTTGATGACTGTTGCGATCAGAAATTTTGGACAGGTAGTGAGTAACTATATAGAACCCACCCAGGAACCAACTCAGGAGTGTGCTCTGGAAAGTGGTTGGCATGGCTGACAGATTTAAAAGAGAAAGGAACAGAATACAATTAAGAAGATCACAGTGGAAGGAAAAGAAATAGATAATCCGAAAGAAATTAGAAAAGGATTTGTGGATTTCTATAGACACTTATATAAAAGAGATGGAAAAAATGTTATAAAAAAAATTATTGAGACAGAAAGGAGTGCAAAAAATTCAGACAGAAAAGAAAGACAGAGTGAATGACCTAATTGAAACAGAGGAAATTAAAGTTGCTATAAAAGAACTGAAAAGTGGAAAGACACTGGGACCGGATGGATTTACAGCAAAATATTATAAAGAAATACTTGTGCCACTGAAAGAGGTTATGAATAATATACTAAGAAAGGGAGAATTACCAGAAATGTGGAAAGAAGCATATATTACATTTATACCAAAACAAGATTCAGATTTAACACAAGTAAAGAACTATAGGCCGATTTCACTGTTAAATAACGACTATAAATTATTCGCAAGTATGCTAGCAAACCATATGTCAGGAGTGCTCTGATGGTGTTTCCTGCTTGGCAGGGGGTTGGACTCAATGGCCCTTGTGGTCTCTTCCAACTCTATGATTCTATGATTCTATGAGACTGTTGATAAGTACCAAGCAGGTTTTTTACCTGGTAGACAGATGAAAGATAACATAAGAAATATAGTTAATATAATTGAATATCTGACTGCCAGAAATGAAAAGCAAGCGATGTTAATTTTTGTGGATGCAGAAAAGGCCTTTGATAATATATCCTGGAAATTTATGTTAAAGAATTTAGAATTAATGGACACTGGTCAATTCTTTCTAAAAGGAATAAAAGCCATAGAGAACAGAGAGCAAAATTAATAGTAAACAATATAGTAACAGAAAGTATTGAAATTACTAAAGGTACAAGACAAGGGTATCCATTATCACCATTATTATTCATATCGGTACTGGAAGTCTTTTTAAGGTAAATAAGGAGAAATGAAAAAATAAAGGGAATTTCAGTTGGTCAAAATGAGTATAACGTGAAAGCCTTTGCCGATGTCTTGGTATTAACCATAGAAGAGCCAGTTACAAGTGTGAAAGAAGTACTAGAGGAGATAGAACAGTTTGGGCAAGTGTCAGGCTTTAAATTGAACAAAAAGAAAACTAAAATGATAGTTAAAAATATGAAACAGGACCTGGTGGAAGGGTTGCAACAACAAATAGGTATAGAAGCAGTTAAAAGATTTAAATATTTGGGAATTTGGTTAACCTCCAAAAATATTGATCTATTTCAAAATAATTATCCACCGGTGTGGAATGGTATTATAAGAGATCTAGAAATATGGGGAAGGATGAAATTGTCATTTTGGGGAAGGATTTCGGCTATTAAAATGAATGTGCTACCAAAGATGTTATTTTTGTTTCAGACAATTTCAATAATCAAAGGGGCAACAATTTTTAAAGATTGGCAAAAAACAATTTCAAGATATATCTGGCAGGGAAAGAAGCCGAGAATACAGTATAAGTTGTTAACAGATGTTAAAGAAAGAGGAGGCTTCGCTCTGCCAGATCTGAAATTGTATTATGAAGCATCTTGCCTCTGTTGGTTAAAGGAATGGATGTTATTAGAAAATACAGAACTGTTAGATTTGGAAGGTTATGATAATAGATTTGGATGGCACGCATATCTATGGTATAATAAAACAAAAGTCCATAAAGGATTTGGAAGCCATATATTTCAAAGATCTTTAATAGAAATATGGGATAGGTACAAAAACTTACTGGAACGTAAAACACCGCATTGGTTATCTCCATTAGAAGCAATGAGTGTGAAAAAGATCAATATGAGTGGGAAATGGATAACTTATGGGAAATTAATACAAAAAGAAGGAAGTAAATGGAAGATGAAACCATATGAGGAAATCAAAGAATATGTGAATGATTGGATGCACTACCATCAGGTCAATGAAATGTTTAAACAGGATTTTAAAGAAAAAGGATTTGATGAAAATAAATCAAAGTTTGAACTAGAGATATTAAGTAATAACTGTAAAAAAAATTCTAAAATGTATAAATTGCTGCTTGAATGGCATTTGAAGGATGAGGAGGTAAAGTCGGTTATGATTCCTTGGGCCAAAGATTTTGGGTATAATATACAGCTGAGTGATTGGGAAAAACTATGGAAAGAAGGTTTAAAATTTACTGCATGCAATGCTTTAAAAGAAAATGTGATGAAAATGATGTATAGATGGCATATTATACCCGTTAAATTAGCTAAAATGTATAAAGTTAGCAATAAATGTTGGAAATGTAAAGAAAAAGAAAGAACATTTTATCACATGTGGTGTGAATGTAAAAAAGTTAAAAGCTTCTGGGAAATGATATATAATGAGATGAAAGAAATGTTGAAATATACATTTATAAAGAAAACAGAAGCATTTTTACTGGGCATTGTAGGAAGTGATATAAATAGAAAAGAATGTAAGCTGTTTTTATATGCAACGACGGCAGCAAGAATATTATTGGCACAAAAATGGAAGCCAGAAGAATTACTGACGAAAGAAGAATGGAGGATGAAATTTATGGACTATGCATAACTAGATAAATTAACAGGAAGGATTCAAAATCTGCGGGACCAGAAATTCACAGAAGACTGGTGTAAATTTACAGACTATTTGAAAAGTAATTGTGATGATCAGACTACGTTTGTAGGTTTGCAAGAAGTTTTGTGAGGTGAATTCTTGGAACTATTCCAAAAATGGATAAAGGGGAGGATGGTTAGTTAAGATAATTAAAGGCAATATGAATTTAAGAAATGCATAAGAAGTGGTTAAAACGGTGGATCATCAGAGGTGCTGATGGAAGTCCAAAAAAAGATTGTATAAGTGGTAAGGTTTTGTGGTATGTATTATAATTTATATGTTAAAATTAATAAAAATTATTATTAAAAAAAGAGAGAGATTTTGCTTGGCAGGTAAAAAAAATTCTTATTTTAACAGAAGCTGGTGAGGGAGGGATGTGGAGCACAGTAGAATGGAAAGGAGAAGTGTTAAAGTTTGCCTTTTGGTGGCTCGTTGCAGCCAGCAGAACAAAAGGGGACAGAGAAACACATTGCAGCATGGGTAGGCAAACTAAGGCCCAGGGGCTGGATCCGGCCCAATTGCCTTCTAAATCCAGCCCGCGGACAGTCTGCGAATCAGCGTGTTTTTACATGAGTAGAATGTGTCTTTTTATTTAAAATGCATCTCTGGGTTATTTCTGGGGCACAGGAATTCGTTCTTTTCCCCCTTTCCCCCCAAAATATAGTTCAACCCCCAACAAGCTCTGAGGGAAGGTGGACAAGACCCTGCTGATAAAGTTTGCTGACCCCTGCATTACAGAGAAAGAAAAGGGGGGGTCATCTGATGTCTTACCTCCCCATGGCTCCAACATCATGAGGGAGCCTGTCATAGTAGCATCTGGTCACGTCCAGGGCCACAGGCTGCCTGGCTCCACCCACGCTATGCCATAGTGTAATTCTCTTCCTGAGAAAATTATTTTGTTCACCTTTGCTCATTTATGTGGGCTGTAGATGACTTGTTCTGAAGGCCATTGTTCCATTTCTAGCCTGTCTTTCCTCCAAAGAGTCCCAACTTGTGGACCTAGTTTCATTACTCTCTCTTTTATATTCATGGTAAGAAACTGATTAGGCTGTAAAATAGCCCTTATCTCAGATTAGATTTAAACTTCATCTCACTTCTCCAACACTCTGTCCTCTATCATAATGGAATCCAGAATGCTGAGTGGGAAATGTAAGGCCCCTGGGAGACTTCTCTGAATCAGCAAGAATGAAAATGATTACTCACAGCATGAACGAAGCTTCCTATAAATTTTAGGGAGAAATCTATGGCTTCTATCAGCTTCTGGAACTGTTCATCCTCAAGAGCAAACCGATGCCCAAAAGCCACAGCACATATCACGTTGGAGACTGAATTAGCGATGGGCAAGGAGGGGTCAAGTGGCTGTCCTGCAAAATAAAATTATACTAATGTGAGTTCAGCTGCTCCTGTTCATACTGAGAGTGGGATTTCATGGTGGCCAAGAGAAACTGCTGGGATCTCCATTAGGAACCAAGAAAAACATATCATATTCCTTTCTAAAATGGACAGAGGTAGTACACAAATATATCTTCATACGCCAGCTCAGCAACATCACTTAGCATCACATACCCTTTGAACGTGCAAAAACCTCCACGAGCTGATGGGCCTCCTCTGCTACTTGGTGCTCCATGCCTTTCTTCCCCACTCCCAGCTTCCGCATAGTAACTACACCAAAGCGTCTCTGTTGCCTCCAGGTGTGACCATTTGAAAATATATTACCTATGGAAAATCAGTGAGAAATTCTTCCTTACAGAAATTAATGTTACAATTAAGTAACCAGCCAAGAAGAAACTTTGTTTACTGAAGTTCATGCCCTTGAATGTGCAATCTATTCAGTATCTCTGAGGCAAACAATTACAAGACGATGCAAAGTCTGCCTCAGTATATTTTGGGGGTATCTCAGCAGAAAGAGCGGAGAGTTCAAGCCCTTCATCCAGCGCTGAGGGCCAGGACAATCAATGCATTGCAACTGCAACTGGAAACAAGCTTCTACCTGCAATTCAATCTAACCACAGTGTAGTACAATTCTGACTTCCATAAAGCACTTGTTAGAGTAGACTAATGGAAATTAATAGACCCACATTAGCCATGCCCATTAATTTCAGTGGGTCTTCTCTGATAAGAACTGGCACTGCATAGAACCCCTTTTTCCTGTTCAGTACAACATTAATAGAAAACCTTTGTTCTCTTTTTCCAGACAGCCACTTAAATGTTTTTCTTCGGGGAAAGTACCAGCAGAAATTCTCATTACCTACCTTTTCCTTTTGTCATAGCCATAAGGAAGGGAGTCTGTGGTCGGTCTTCAAGTTCTTCAGAGTGGTCAATGAGCGCTTCTTTCACTGCTTGGAATCCAGACAGTATTATGAAGGGTTGATATCCTGCCCAAAGGGTGTAAATGTTTCCATATTGCTTTGCCATCTACCATTTGGGTCAAAAGAGAGAAGAGGAATGCTATGTTCAGATAGTTATTTCAACCTAATATGTGATCTTCAGCCTTCCTCACCTCTTAAGCATCTCACTATATTTTCCTCTCTTGCCAGCATCTTCTTTTCTTTCTTTCGTTCCTTCCTTCATTCCAACCCATTTGTTTTACTCCCTCCTGCTTGTTTTTTCCCTGCGTGGGATCAGAGCAGCAGAGAGGCACTTCATAGTCTCCAGCCATCTGGTGACAGGCAAGTAGATGAGCCAGCCATTGCCAGAGGCTTCTTCATCATCACCATAAAACCATTTTGTGCAGGGATGTGGAAACTGGAGCCCACCAGATAGTGTTGGACTGCAACTCCCATCATCCCTGACCATTGGCCATGCTGGTTGGGGCAGATGGGCATTGTAGTCTGGAGGGTATCAAGTTGGTATAAGCTTGGCTAGAGCACTGGGTCAGGTTTATGACCCACGGTGGGTCACAACAGCAGAGGCGTAGCAAGGTCAGGTGGTACCTGGTGCAGAATTTCTTTTGTCACCCCCGCACATTGACATTTTAGGCAGGGTAGTCCAAAGTTGTTGAGCCACCAAATATGTGGTAAGGAATTAAGAAGAGGATGGAATTAAGTGGTAAGGAATTAAGCAATACCTGTCTGAATAATTTGGCTTACAAATGTATTAAACAAACAAACAAATTAAATATTGTCTCGTGTCTTCCCTGGCTACATATGAGCTACAAAAGTCCCATGGCTTTCCTGAGAATGATCTCCTGCTACACTGCCAAGTGAACTTGGTGTCCATCCATCTGTTGGAAGAGGAGAAGTGCATAGCATTCTGGGCCATGTTGCATCACACATGGGAAGAGTGGGAGGACAAGCTCCAGAGTATATTGCAATAAACTATTTCATTAGCTCAGCTAATGTGGTGTAGTGTGGTGTCTTTCAGATTTAAGCCTCCTTCATCCTGCAGATACAAACAACACACATAATAATAATATAGAAACTAATATAAAAGGACAAGAATCTGATTAATAATGAAAAGCACAAAAACATATAAAGTAAGATAATTACATCATGGGGAGCCAGGTGAAATCAGGAAAATACACATGCCAAAATGTTGTTGCATTTTCTCTATGAGAAGTGTTGACTAGTAAGTGGTAGCAGGATCAGCCTGTGCACCTTCCTGTCTCAGTGCCATTAGTCTCACAGCTGCAGCTGGTGCTTTTAAATGACTCTCTGATGCTGATTTCACAGACCTGGCCTTTTGCTCTTGCTGGGAGTATTGCGTGGCGAGTTCCCGCCTCCTCCCAAGAAAATAAAGACACAGGACACAAGAATTCAGGTTAATGGGTCGAATTAAGCCACAACTTTATTGATTACAGGAATTGAACGGTATTGGCCTAGGCATTGGTCCTAACTACTAACCGGCTAGAAGCCGGAAGGGTTAATCACCAGGGGGAGGAGTCCTCCTGAGGCACGTCAACTAGGCCCTCCCCTGGGCGTCACCGCATGGGGGCGTGCTGTGGGCCCACACCTCCTTAGGCTTAGGAGAAGGCCACAGCCCCCGGAATCCTTTACTGGACTACCCTTGCCTGGGGAAAGGTGATGGCGCTCCTTCTCCCCATACATTTGCATAACAATAGGACAGTACCCCTACCAATGCCTAACTGCCAATACCGAAGAGTTGTGACGGTTTGCTACGAGGTAGGCGAAAACCAAATGGCTGGAGCCAATCTGTTATTTGGGAAAATTCCTACCAGGCCCCTTGACGGCGACCAACCGTAGTTCATATCAACGTCAAAGAACCTATCCTAAAAAAGGGGTGGGATGGGCGGGAAAAACCTGGTCAGCTGCAGCAGCGGAGGAAAAGAGGAGGAGCCTCGGCTGCAGCAGGTTTAAATAGCCGAGGCCCCGCCCCCAGAGCCAGCCAACTGGCTGGCCCGGGGTATGACACGGGCGGAGATTCCCTTAGGTATCGCGGGGGCTGGCTCCAGCCTGGGGAATCTGGGGAAGGGGCGTGACGCCTGCAACCCCACCTCCTATGTTTATTGCAGAAGTGGTTTTACCTGGAGATTAGCATTTACTGCAGAGATGCAATTTGCTGTATTAGTCTTTGAATTGCTTTTTTTAATTTTTTAAGTGTTTGTAATTCCAATGAAGAAGATGAAGACTTTTCCAGGCTTAACGTCTTGAATAGCATATGCAGGTCTGTATCTGTTGAAGTGTTGCCATGAATGAATGCAGAGTGATCTTTGTGCTCACTCTTTTTAAAATGCATTTTCTTATGTGTTTGTGGTCAGTGCTGTGGGTTTATTTTTTTTAACATAATGTTCATATACACCAGGAGTGATGGCTCTAGAAGATTTGAAAGAATGGAGGTAAAAATTTTTCATGTTAATTCTCTGGTTGGTTATAAACATCCACATAACATGTAACAGTATTCACAGTGCCGTATGAAGAGGGGGGCAGAGAGGATGGGTCACCCCGGGTGGCACCTTGGGGGGTGCCAAGTTGGGCCGCTGCCTCCCCCCAGCTGTGGAGCAGCGAAGGGCACGCGCGCAGTCAGCATGGGCGCCACTTGCGGCATCTGTATGAGCTGCCACTCGCTCACGGTGTCCATACGAGCTGCCGTGCATGCGTAGTCTGATCGGGCTGCCGGGCGGTTCACCCCACCCCTAAGCGTACCTCCCCAGGTGACGAAGAGGGTTCCTCCACCACTGAGTATACAACAACTTACCTTTTCAATTGTGATATAGAAAAAATAGGGGTGGTTGGTTTTTGCTGCCCAATTCCCCAAGGGACTGAGTCCCCTAAGTCCATGATGGGTAAGAGATGAATGGATGGAGGCAGGGTGCCATGGAAGCAAGGCAGATCTTTCTTTCTTCTGTTGCAACAGAGTTCCCTCCACTCCTTGTAAGGAGACTAGACAGACCCAGAACCCAAAAGAAACATCTCTCTTAAGGATTTGCTCCGTTTTGGTGTGGAGAAGGAGGACCTCCCCTCTACAAACAGTCAGAAATTACATCACACTCAAGGTGGGGTTACTGTGGTTGAGGCAAGCCAAGATGTGATATTCCTGAGTATTTAGCAAGTTTTACATAGTTCCAGACACAGTTTACACAAAACATTAGCATTTGATATGCCTGTCAGAATCCCTCAATGCAGAGCATCTGGGCAAACAATGACAATTAATACAAAGGAGATTCATTGCTATAGGAGAGGACTCCCTTCAGGAACTTCCCTTGACTGCTATCTGCCTACGTGTTCTGAGGCAAGGGGGATTAAGGAGGCAGAGAAAATACTGAGAATCTTTAGGAGAGCCAAGATGACTTTTGGATTGCTCTCCTGTACTATTTTAGACATGTGGTTTATATACTAACGTATGTGTGTTTACCTTGTTCAATTATCAACATTTCTTCTATTTTTTAGACCTTAGAATTCCTATAACAATTAGTAATTTCTGAATGCACATTTTCAACTTTTGTGTGTTTTTATACTAATGCCCTTGTACGTAACACAGCAGGAGTGCCTGGAATGAACAAATTCAGATTACCTAGTACACTGAATTTATTAAAATATATATGTTTATTTTGTATAATTTTTCATTTATTAAATTTTTATTTAGCCACTTTTGCTTGACCTTACTACACATGAAAGTAGTTTATAAAAATTCTGTGTGACCTGAATATGAATGACGCTTCTCTCGCAATGGAACATTGGGGGATTTTTAATTAAATTCAGTTTCAGTAAATGTAGGGGTTTCATCACATTTTATTCTGTGCTTGGTTGTGGCCATGACATTTACTGTTTTAACCCTTACTATTGTTTAAGCTGAAATATCATAGTTGTTAAGGGGAATAGGTAAAACAATTGTTCATATTAGACTGAGTTAGAAATAAGTACCTTAATGAAAGTATCATCACGAAGCTTCACCCCAATCCGCCACACGCCTCCAATGAGAGGAAGCTGGAGAGGTCCAGGAGGATAGTGCCTATTTGACCAGAGCTGTTTCAGGAAGTGCAGAATCAGAAGAACCACCAGCAAAACAATAAAAAATGCCCCTATTTCCATCCTTCTCTTGCTTTCAATTTCTCCTGGATACTTTTTAGGATTCCTGGTTAAGTTCAACACTCTTTCTCTAAGGAGATCTTGCTTTCCTCAGAGAAATCAACATTTCTCTCTCTTTATATACTCTCTTATTAAAAAGGAATAAGTGTTCTGACACCATGTCCAAGTAGCCTTGGAATGTGATCCCAAGTCATGTGCTACAGTCAAAAACTATAATCATTTTTCATGTGATTTTTCAGATGAGAGGAAGTCTGATTAATATGAATTGCAATTAGAATTTTGGCTGGTGTAAGACTGATTTGTGCCAGAAACATTGGGAAAATATGTACCATACATTCATGAAATAAAATTGCATATGGAAAAGGCCCGGTGCAAATGCCCATGGGAAGCCCTCAGCCAGGACCTCATGGCAATAGCCCTTATATAGCTATTAATGATAAATTAACACATGCTATTAAGGTAAGACGGGGAATATGCAGGAGACACAGAAGGTGTTTGTAGAATTTGTGCAGCTAAAACAGAAAGGGGTCAAACTATCACAAGAGGTGTTGAAATTTTGGGAGGTTGGATAGTTACAATGGAATGGTCTCGGGGGTAGGGTGCACATTTTTATTCTTATTTATTTATTATCACTTTGTCAAAATAAAAAATAAAAAAATTAAAGTAGCAGCTGCTGCCCAAGAAAGAGAAAGAGAATTATTATTAATTATTATTATTATCATTATCATTATCATTATCATTATCATTATCATTATCATCATTATCATTATTGCTATTACTGTTATTAAGTCATTAGTACAAATGAGAAAAGCTTACTAGCAGCACTTCACATAGATGGAGGTAGCTTTTCCAAGGCCTTTACTTGTGAGTGTCTGGCTGATATATCTAACTATGCTATCAAAACCTTCATTGATCCCTGGCAAAGGGACTTCTGACCATAACACATATGCTTGACTCACGCCCTTTCTGGTTCATTAAGTTCAAGTGAGGAGCAATACAACATTTCTGCAGCATTAAACTATGGAATTTGCTCCCAGAAGATGTAGTGATTCCAATCAACTTGGATGGCTCAGAAAAAGAATCAGATAGGTTTATGGAGGCTAAAGCTATCAGTGGGTACAAACCACAAGGGCTGTGTTCTGCCTACGCTGTGGCTATGGATATCACTTTCTGGAAATTGTAAGTGAGGAGAGTGCTGTTGCATTCAGTTTCCTGTTTGGAGGCTTCCCACAGACATCTGGAGGACTAGACGGGTCCTATCTTGCCTGGTCCAGCAGAGTTCCTCTTATGCTTTTCTACTCTTATTAAGCAACGGAAAATATAAATGTGCAAGCAACTGACACCTTCACATGGCCAACAGCATGCTGCCATCCGGTTTGAATATTGTGAGATGGGTTTTACACTAAAAGGGAAAAAGTGTATGTTTTAAGCAGTGACAGAAGTTTGAGTAAAGTAGGACTAAAGGGACACTGAGAGGAAAATGGTGCTTTTAAACAAAATCAGAGGTTTGCATTGCCACGGGGAATAGCACAGAGTATATAAGGATGGGGATGTGTTGTAGTCCCAAGTAAAGGCTCTTGATTGAGCTCTTTCACTCCTTCTGGCAGCTGGAAGCTGAATGTTCTCAGCAGGTTGGTCAGGAAGATGAAGATTTCGATCTTTGCCAGCTGCATTCCCAAACAAATGCGAGACCCTGAGGATGGGACAAGTGAAAGACAGCAAGTGAGTAATAATTTACTTTTCAGTGTCAATTACTTCGCAGCTATAAAACATGCTATACTGTATAATACTTTGGAGAACTAGACATAGTTAGGAAAGTGAAATAATCAAGAAGAAGAAGAAGAAGAATTTATACCCTGCCCATCTGTCTGTTTCCCCAGCCACTCTGGGCAGTATCCAACCGAATATTAAAAACATGATATAGCATTAAAGATTAAAAACTTCCCCAAAAAGGGCTTCCTTCAGATGTCTCCTAAAAGTATTATAGTTGCTTATTTCCTTGACATCTGCTGGAAGGACGTTCCACAGGGCAGGCATCACTGCCGAGAAGGCCCTCTGCCTGGTTCCCTGTAACCTCACATCTTGCAGTGTGGGAACTGCAAGAAGGCCCTTGGAGCTGGACCTCAGTGTCCGGACTGAAGGATGGGGGTGAGGACGCTCCTTCAGGTATACTGGGCCAAGACCCTTTAGGGCTTTAAAGGTCAGCACCAACACTCGGAAACGGAGTGGGAGCCAATGTAGGTCTTTCAGGACCAGTGTTATATGGTCTCGGCGGCCACTCCCAGTCACCAGTCTAGCTGCCGTATTCTGGATTAATTGCAGTTTCCGAGTCACCTTCAAATGTAGCCCCACGTAGAGCGCATTGCAGTAGTCCAAGGGGGAGATAACTAGAGCATGCACCACTCTGGTGAGACAGTCTGTGGGCTGGTAGGGTCCAGGGAGTCCTCCACACCCACCCGCCCCCTGTCCCCCAAAAACAGTACTTCTGTCTTGTCACGGTTCAACCTCAATCGGAAGTGGGATAGTTTAACTGCAGACTCAATTCTGAGTATAGTTTCATAGCAGGCTAAATTATATTCCATGAAAAGAGGTGGGCGAGCTTTAGCCTTGTCAGCTGAAAAGAAGTTGGATGCATCAAGCAGTGACGTGTGACAGGGAGCAACAGCAGTGCTGGCAGTGTTACCCCTCTCAGGGACAGGGCAATGGGGTGGCAAGTGTGAAGTGTGAACCCCATAAGGGTTTGGGTACCTGTGAGTCCAAAATCAGCCAGTCAGAAATTCCCTAAATTATCAACAGCCTTGCCCCATCCTGCTGACCAGCAGTTCCACTCCTGCCAAGGGGATATTGCATCCATTCTGCCCTACTCTCTTGCTGATGATGATGTCATTTCCTGGAAGCCAACCAATAAGCATGTCTATAGACCCCAACTCAGCTTGGACATTTGCATTCACCTGCACCAAATGGCAGATATTCTTCTCTGTCCACAAATTGTCCATTCTTGTCCAAGAAATGATTTGGGTTGAACTCTGCAGGAGTCTCCCATCGTGTTGGATCAAGAAGAACAGAGCGCAGATCAAGAAGAATGGCAGTCCCCTGCAAAGAAGAAAGAATTAACTTGGAATGCATTCAGATCAGCATTCAGACCAACAGAGGATTCTCCCTCACTCTCCCAGGACAAATCTTTGCAGAGTTCAAACTGAATTGAAACTCAGGGTTTTGTGGGGACAGGTGGGTATTTAACAGTGGCCATATTCATCCTCAACTTTTTTCTATTTAAAAAAATATTTCTGTACAAGCAGAAACACAGCAGAGCCTCCCCAACACCTGGTTCAAAAAGGCCTCGCTGAGACCTTTGGCCACTGCATGTTCCTCTGAGTTGCCACATGGCCCCAGCAATAGCACTAGTGAAACATGTCTGCAGATGGAACTCCTGTTTTAGACTACACAAGAAGTTCCTGCATGGCTGGGGGCATCTCTGAATATGCAACTGTCAGGGAACTGCCTTCGGAGCCAGGGGGAGAGGGATGGCTCCAGAGGGATTCTGGAGAGCGAGTGGCTGTCCGGACAGAAAGGGTTCACTCAGGCAACCCAGCCAGGTGTGGCGCCGATTTACGCACGAGCAACCCCTAGAACCATTACAGCAATCCGTCAGTCCCTGACGTTGCTTGTGCGCAGCCCAGGAGAGGCAGCACGATGAGCCAAACAGGAACAGCCGGAGAGATGGAGCAACCAGCTGCGGTGCGGAGTCTGGTCGAGAGGAACCGAGACTTGGAGACGCATGTAGCTATCCTGACGGCGCGGCTGGAGGAAAGATGGGCTCAGGATGCACAGGTCAGAACCACCCCCATCGCAAGGAAGGTACCGGGGCTGGTACACAAGTTTGGTGGAAAGCCCCAAGACTACAATGCTTTCCGAACGGAAGTGCAGTACGCTTTGGAGCTGCAGAAAGATGACTTTGCTGATGACGGGGAGAGGGTGGCTTACATTGTGGGGCATCTGCAGGATGGGGCGCGCGAATGGATCAGGCCCCTAATGGTGACGCAAAATGATGCCTTGAAGGACCTTAAGAAATTCTTTCAGGAAATGGACGCAATGTTCTCCAGCGAGGTGGAGCAAAGCGTGACACGGCGGGAACTGATGGGGTGCAAGCAGGGGAGCCAATCCGTCAGAAACTACTGGTCGCGTTTTGCGATGTTAGTCCACCGGCTCGGGTGGGATCTGGACTCTGAACCGATACAAATGTTGTTTGAGGCGGGCCTGTCCCCCGAAGTGAAAGACAAGTTGTTCCGAGCGCCCCACCCACGGTCAATGGACGAGCTCACAAAGGCTGTGCTCGCGATAGGCGTACGCCAAGAAGCGTAGGCGCAGGAGAAACGGGAAATGAGAGAGGAATATTTCCATGACTACCGCATTCCAGAGATACCGAGGGAGCCTTCCCAGGCGGTGGAGCCAATGGAAATTGATGGCGCGCGAGAGGTTTCAAACTCCGGTGAAGGTCGTAAAAGGGAGGGAAAGGACTGGAAAACTACCAAGAAGTGTTTCCTCTGTCAACGACCAGGACATTTTGCTAAGGTCTGCCCTCAACGAAAGGCCTGGCAAGGGATGGTGGGGGCTGCAGGCCATGACGAGAAAGGGGAGGAAGGGCAGGCGCAGGGAAACGCCAACACCTGGCTGCCAACCAGCAGGGGCAGCAGCCAGGCCAGCAACCAATAGAAGTGCCCCAGCCTGACCCCCCCAAGGCAGCTATAGCCATAGAAGTGGTGCTAGAACTCCCGAATGGGCACCCTGTCACAGTTAAGGGACTGCTGGATTCGGGCAGCTCGTGTAATTTCTTCAGCAGAGACTTCGCTCTGGAGCACCAACTCCACCTGTTGCCTCTAGATTTTCCTTTGCAGGTGACAACCATCGATGGCAGGGAACTTCTGGGAGGGGAAGTGACACACCAGACCCCGCCAATGCGAATGAGGGTTTCCAGGCACACGGAGACCATTGCCTTTCACGTGGCCACACTGGCAGGACCCCCAATAATACTGGGAATGAGCTGGTTGGCACTGCATGATCCCATAGTGTCATGGCATCAGCGGTCAGTCACCTTTGGGTCAGCTTACTGCTTAGGACACTGTCTGGGAGGGGAGAACCCAAGAATGACGGTGGCCAGAGTGGCTGGGCTGGCCGTGGAACAAAAGGGGGAGGTGCCACCACAATATGCTGACCTGAAGGAGGTCTGCAGCGAGAGGGAGGCAGATAGACTACCCCCCCACAGGCCCTTTGACTGCCAAATCAACCTACTCCCAGGGGCTCAGTTGCCGGTGGGTAAGCTGTATGCCATGTCCGACCAGGAGATGCAGGAGTTGCGGCAGTTTATTGACAAGAACCTGAAGAGGGGGTTCATAAGGGAATCAAAGGCGGTGGGGGGCAGTCCGGTGTTCTTTGTGGACAAAAAAGAGACTAATCAGCCTAGATTGGTTGTGGATTATAGGGCCCTAAACCTGGTGTCAGAACCCGTGACCTTCCCAATGCCAAGGATTGACGACATTTTAACACAGGTGAGGCAGGGGAAGATTTTTACCAAGCTGGACCTCAGGGGGGCATACAATTTAATCAGGATAAGGGAGGGGGACGAATGGAAAACTACCATGTTCACCCCCCTGGGGGCTTTTGAGTACTTAGTCATGCCATTTGGATTACAATCGGGCTCCGCCTGCTTTCAAGCATTCATGCACCACGTGTTGGGGCCCCTGCTGTACAAGAACTGCGTAGCCTTTTGGATGATGTCTTAATCTATTCGGACAATGAGAAGCAACACGTCAGAGACGTCAGGGAAATGCTACAGAGACTACAGAAGCATCAGTTGTGGGTCAAGCTGGAAAAATGCCAATTTCACGCCAGGGAGGTCGAGTTTCTGGGGTACAAGTTGTCAGACAAGGGCCTAGCTATGGACCCAGGCAAGGTGAAGGCAGTGCTGGAATGGAAAGCCCCCAAAACCCGGAAGGATGTGCAGAGGTTCTTAGGGTTCAGCAACTTCTACAGGAAGTTCATAAAGAACTTCGCTCACTTGACAGCGCCCATAACAGATTGTCTCAGTAGCAAAAAGAAGTTCGCGTGGACAGAAAGTGCCCAGCAATCCTTTGAAAGGCTGAAGAAGGCGTTCGCATCGGAAGAGCAGCTCCTGCACGTTGATCTGGAGAAGCCCATGAGACTGGAGATGGACGCGTCCGACCGAGCTGTTGGAGCGGTCCTTTTGCAGCCCGGAGCCAAGCAGGACTGGAGGCCGTGTGCCTTTTTCTCAAGGAAGCTGAGCAAGTCAGAGCAAAACTACACAGTGTCTGACCGAGAACTGCTTGCGATCTATGCGGCGTTTTGGCAATGGAGACATCTGTTGATAGGGGCGCAGCACAAGATCCAGGTTTGTACTGACCACAAGAACTTGGAATACTGGTGGACCACGCGGGTGCTCAACCAGAGACAGATTCGATGGGCCCAGGAGTTCGCCAAGTTTTCCTTCGAGATCAGAGAGGAAAACGTAAGAGCAGATGCTCTCTCCCAGAAACCGGAGTACCTGGAGGGAGAGGGGCCACCAGAGATCCGACACGTGTTTCCCGAGGACCGGTGGGTGGGTGGGGGAATGCTGGTTGGGAAACGAGAACTGGCAGGGCTTACTAGAGACGACGCGTTTGCTCAAGCAAAAATCAGGGAACTCCGGGAAGGGAAGGGAAGACCATGGAGGGTTTGAGGAAAAGGAAGGGCTACTGTACTATAAGGAGGCACTGTATGTACCAGGGGAGACCTTGAGGGGGAAGGTACTTAAACAACTCCATGACAACCCAACAGCTGGGCACTTTGGACAGCACAAGACCATGCTGCTCATCACCAGGCAGTTCTGGTGGCCAAAGGTGAGGGAAGATGTACGGGAATATGTACGGGGGTGCGACCGATGCCAGAGGGCAAAGGGAGAGAGGGCTGCCCCCGCAGGGCTACTGGAACCCTTACCTACACCGGGAAGGCCCTGGGAGGTGGTGTCCATTGATTTTATGACAGATTTGCCCAAGTCAAGGGGAAGACAGCAGTCATGGTAGTAGTCAATCTACTGACAAAAATGTGCCATTTCATAGCTTGCTCACACGCGGTGACGGCAGAGGAGACAGGCACCGTCGGGAGGGGGAGACCATACGGGTGGGAGACCGGGTGTGGTTGTCAACCCAAGGGTTACCCCTAAAGGGAGGGTGCAAGAAGTTGCAGCCGAGGCAGCTGGGGCCATTTGAGGTAACACAGCAGGTGAACCCAGTGGCATTCAAACTCAAGTTGCCGGACAGCATGAAGATACATCCGGTGTTCCATAGGTCCCTACTTTCACCGTACAGGGAGGGGCGGGAATTTCCAGGGCGGCAGGGAGGAGTCACCACCCACCCGCAGGTAGAGGAGAGGGAACACCGCAACCAAGCCACGGAAATACTTGATTCAAGGTGGCAAGGTCGCCAGGTGGAGTACTTGGTAGCTTGGGAAGGAGAACCCAGGTCAGAAAACACGTGGGTCCCCGCTGAGTCAATCAATGACGGGTATCTGGTGGAAGAATTCCACAGGTTGTTCCCGGATAAGCCAAAACCACTAGCGAGATTCTGGGAGGAAGAATTTGGAACCACAGACGACGAAGGGGACTTTGTGGGTTTTCCTGCCTCCGAAGAGGAGGGAGGAGAGGTGTCAGAGGAAGAAGAATCAGACCGGGAAGTCCACCCTGAGGGGAGAGATCTGAGCGGGTGGGAGGCTGGTTTTGAATCCTCAGAGGATGGTGACAGCTCCTTCAGGGGATTCCCCGCATCGTCGGCCGAGGAAAGAGACGAGGTTATATCGGAAAATCGCGCCGGGGGTGGAGGGGGTCCTGGGGAGGAGGTGGATGTCAGGGAACTGCCATCGGAGCCAGGGGGAGAGGGAGGGCTCCAGAGGGATTCCGGAGAGTGTCCCGGGAGGGAGAGAAGCAGGACATCTTCTGGGGAAGGAAATCAGCGTAGCACCAGTGGAGAAGGGGGGCAGATGGGGGAATCGGCGAGGTGGCTCCATGACTCCTCGCCGGGGACCAGTGGGGAGAGCACGGGTCCTCCGCTGCCCACACCCTCCCTGCGCAGAAGGCTTCCACGCAGGGAGCGTAGGCGGAGACTAGGCATCAAAGAACTTCTTTGCTGGAAGAAGTTCAAGAAACGCCCACTGGCGGATTCTGCCAGCGATTGAGACAGCCACGGGCGAGTGGCTGTCCGGACAGAAAGGGTTCACTCAGGCAACCCAGCCAGGTGTGGCGCTGATTTACGCACGAGCAACCCCTAGAACCTTTACAGCAACCTACTCATAGACTCTTGGGATACAGGCATGCAGCTGTATCACTCTTCTTTACCTTGGGAAAGAGAAAACCACGCATCTTCACATCCTTTGTACATTGCCTAGGAGACCCCATAAATAAGGCATATTTAAAGCGCTGCATTTCATGAATCACAGCATTGGTGTAGGGCAGTTTCTTCTTATCTTGATAGCAGATTGTGTGAGAAGAACCTAAAGCATCTTCTATTTCCTTGTGGACTTTATCTGAAGAAAATTACGGAAACAAAAGTTTTATTTTGAATATATAAACTTCATTCTCCCCCCAGTACTTGGCAAGGGCAGTGTTAAAGGGCTAGAGCGGTAGCCAGAAGATCAAATGGAAAACAGATAATCCAAAGTTTGTTTTGTTTAAAGGGAACTGCATAACAACGAAGATTAGGAGCCTCACCAATTGTTGGGGTGGATCTACACACGGGGGGGACTGGGACCACTATAAATAAGTCAGTAATTAAATCATTATAACAAAAGAAAAGAAAAAGCTATGTAAAAATTGCATAGAAATTTCTTTTAGTCTCTGGTGCCATCTGGTGTTGCATATTTATAACACATTGAAAATTTTTCTGTCTAATGTAGCTGAGTTCTTAGCAGTGGCATAGGAAGGGAGAGGGGGCGCACAGCTCCGGGGACCATCCTGAAGGGGGTGATATTTGGCACAGGGCCCCTCACCCCGCACCTCCCAAGTCAACGCCAGCACAAGTGGCAAAGCATCGACAACCACCGTCCCCCTGCCTGCCTCCCCAGCTCACTGCAAGGTGGGCCAGGTCCTGCTCTCCCTGCCCGTCTATGTCCCATCCTTAAAGGCTCCTGCAGAGGTGTAGCTGCGGCTCCCCCCCCCCCGCCCCATCACCTCCAGAGCGTCTTTGCAGGGCTTGCCCGAGCATGTTGCTTTTGGTTTCCCCTCAGTCCTCATTTAAAAGCCTGCCACAAGCAGTCCAAAGTCTTTGCTGCTTTTGTTGGGGGATTCAGTGAGCTGTAAATCATCCTGTGAGTTTTACTTGGCAAACTGGGGCGGGGGGGGGAGTTTTCTTCTTCTTTTGTCTTTGCGCTCCAGTACTCAAGGGGTGGTGGTGGAAATGAATTGCTGAGAGGAGAATCACACTATTCTGTTCTTTGGGTTTTTTTAACTCTGAGAGGAGTGCGGTTTGCCACCCGATTTTGTTTTGCTTTTTTCCCTCTGGAAGGGTGTCCCAATGATTTCCTGCGTTTACTCCCGAATAAGCAACTTTGGATACAACACAGTAAGTTTTGCTAATAGGAGAGGAAAATACATATTCCCCCACAATGCAGTTTTAGCAGTTTCTCTTGTGTCTCTAGGCTCATCCTCTCCTGTTGTCTTCTTCTGCTTATTTTTTTAAGCACCAACCACTTGTCTTCTGGAACACGCTGCACTCCCTTCATCACTGAGTTGCCCTTTTGAGTTAATTCTCTAGTTCTGTGATGGCATGTGTGCATGTGACAAGAAGAGCATTGTACATGTTTCCATGCTACATTCACACATTACGCTTCCTGCTGTTTCATTCATGCATGTCTTTCAAACTAAGATTGAATGGCGCTTTTTTCCATTGCCAGATGAGAACGACACTTTTCAGAAAGCTTTTCGCTGTGACTCCAGAAACCCTTTATGGATAGTGGATTTGGCCCCTATTGGATCTGATGTGATATTATAGATTGCTGAGAGAGAGAGAAGACGGTGGTCCAGGGCTCCCGTCCATCGCTCTGAGCATGGGCATAGCCGGGGGAGCAGTGCCCCCCCCAGATACACAAAAATCATTTTAAAGCCAGTAGCACATGTGAAAAGGTTCTAGGCGTCCTGGGCCACAAGTTCAACATGAGTCGTGAAGCTCCAAAGTCCGGCGACCGTTAGCGACCAATTTCTCCAACCAAATATAGAAGATTGGCTAATCGTGAGTAAAAAAGGATTTTAATTTGGACTATTAATTGACTTGAAACGGATTCAAATTACGAAGGTTGATCGCTTTCTGCTGAAGTAAAAGTGAAAGCAGTTAACGCTGACCGAAGCTGCAACTTTGAAAGTCTTGTTAAAACTCCCAAGGAATCATTTTAAGCCCCTCTTTCTGCAGGGGGAAGGGGGAAGAATTTGATTGAATTGAGGCCCTGCATGAGATACATTTGACAGTGGAATAGACTCTTGCTTTTTGGAAGCGGACCACCCAGCGGGGGAAGGCTAGACTCCATTATTGCGTCACAAAGGGAGTGGATACATTCAGCTTTCATTTTCCTCTTAGGGGATTACAAGGTAACTGCTGCTGTCTGAGCTTGGTATAATAGTACACAGTGTTTCTCTTACCCTCCTTGAATTGAATATAAGTGCCCAATTTAATTTTGGATGCTTTCTAAAAGAATAAGAAGAGTAAAAAGAATAAGACTTTGAAAGGTGGAGCTGCTGAGTTGTCTGCTTCTGCCTGTATACTAAAAATCTTGTTGACTGACTGTGACTGTGACCTTGATACTTTGGAATAGTTATGGCTTGTGGTGCGGATAATCCTGGGGAAAGTAAGATTGAAGATAGAAGAGGCTCCAAAGCATCAACTTTTGAAGAGGCGGTGATGCAAATGCTAACAGAAATAAGAACAGATGTCAGAGGAACCCAGCAGAATGTACAGGAGCTTAAACAAGAATTTGTAGATTTGAAAAAAAGGTATTCAAGAGGTCAAGGAACAGGTTGCCGGTCACGAAACAAGATTGAAGGAATTGGAAACAGTGAGAGTGCCTGATGTGGAGAGTACCCAACAGGATGTGCTTAATGTAATTGCTTTCTTACAGATGGAGGAATGGGAAAATCAACTGAGAGTGAGAGGCACCCCCCAATTGGAACAAGCTAATCTTAAGGATTGGCTAATTGAGGAGTTTGCAAAGCGCTGGGATTTAGAAAAAGATGAGCTAAATTCTTGAATTGAGAGGGCCTATAGGTTTGGGCCTAAGAAAGACTCAAAAATTGCACATGACTGTATAGTGGTTTTCAAGACAAAGAAACAGAGGGACAATATTTTGGGTCTACACTATAAAAAAAGCCTGAAGATTAAAGACAAGCCAATTGTTTTGTTCAAGGAGATTCCAAAACATTTTCTGAACTTCAGGAATAATTACACAGATTTGGCTGGAACTCTGAGAAGGAAGAACATCTTCTTCAGGTGGGAGCTTCCAGAGGGCCTCTTTTTCAAATTTCAAAGGAGGAAACAAAGAATTAGGACCGTCGAAGAAAAAATGAGGTTTTTTGGGGGAAAACATTAAGGAACTCAGATTGGAAAGCTCACAGGCACCAGGGTTTTTTAAGAACCTGGAAACAAGACTTCTGGACTATCTGGATTACCAATTGGTTCTGTTGGGGGACCTGAATGGAGTGGCATCAACACTTATGGATAGAACACAGAGACAGAACGAAATGAATGCTGGCAGATTACGAAAGGCTTTTTTTTGAAATAGTGGATAAATTTGATCTGTCAGATATATGAGAATGAGAAATCTAACATAAAAAGACTTCACATTCTAGTCAGATGGAAATCAATCATTTTCACGAAGGGATTATTTATGGATATCTGTCATGGATGCTTTAGTTGAGATGCATTGCAGGGGTTGGACTAGATGACCCTACGGTAGAGTCTGTGGCTGAAGCATTGCTTTTGGTAACATAGGGAGCTGCCTCATGCCTAGGGGTGTCCGGCTTTCTTGGGGGGGGGTTGGCCCTCATTGACAGATTTCAATTTCAATGTTGGGGGGGTTGACAAAAAAAATTCTGCTCCGGGTACCTCCTGACCTTCTACGCCTCTGGTTCTTGGTATGGAATGAGAATGTTCTCTCAATGTCCAAAGCATTCAGAGAGAAAGGAAGAAGTAACCCTGAATTTCATGTTGTTGATACATTATAAAAACTGAATGTGCTTTGTAAAGAAGAATGAATCTGGTAACGTGAAGGACAGAAGGGGATATGTATGGTCCTGGCTGAATATTGGGAGGGGATATATTAAGGATAACATTTTAACGTTTCACAGGCATAAGGTTCACTCTTCCTCCAGTACTTAGTAGGGATAATGTTAAGGAGGGTAGAGCAGTCTGGGAAAATGGATATTGTCAAGCTTTTCTTTTCTTTTCTTTTCTTTTCTTTTCTTTTCTTTCCTTTCCTTTCCTTTCCTTTCCTTTTCTTTTCTTTTCTTTTCTTTCTTCTTTCTTTCTTTCTTTCTTTTCTTTTCTTTCTTTTTTTGCTTAAAGGAACAGCATAACAAAGAAGACAAAGAGTCTTCATGAATGATTCTGAGGATTGTGAAGTTTGAAGAGAATGCTAGGGTTAAAGAAGATTATATAATTACCATTATTATTCAGAGTGTTGAGAACGCATAAAGGAAGACAAATAAGTTGTATTGGAGGAAATATGATTTGAAACTATGATTGATGATTATATGGTTAGATAAAGGAAGAATAACTCAACTTAAATGTCAGGGGACAGCCATTGGAACAAGGGAGGGAGGCAGGGGCGCCGCTGGGATACAGGGAGCCACCAAACCTCTGAGGAGCAGTTCCTTGTCCACCGGTGGGGAAAGCCACACCTTCCACGGAGAAGGGAGGGAAGGGGCCAGCCAAGAGAAGAAAGGGCTTGAGGATGCTGCTGAGAGCCCAAGCGCCTCACTTAGCCCAGCTTGCGCAGAGGGGTGAAATGCAAGGAGGGGAGGAGGAGGCTTGGGGTGCCAAAGTTCTTATGTTGGGGGAGAAGTCGGAAGGGGCCACTCCCGGATTCTGCAAGTGACTAAGATGGACATGAACTTTTTAGATCTGCACTGTAAATAGTTTGCACAATAAAACCTGTAAAAGACAGGTCGGAGTCCTGCCAGCTTACTCACAAGCAACCACCACCAGCATCTGACAGCAATCTGGAAGTCATTGTGGTTGCTTGCGTGTAGCAGGGAAGAGCAGCACGATAAGTCTAGAGAAGAAAGGGAGGCTGGAAGAGCAAGGAGCTGCAGGCGGAGGCGCTGAGGAAATTGTGGCATGGAACGTAGCGGCCCTGATGCAGAGGAATGCGGAGCTGGAAACTCACATCACTGACCTCACAGCCAGCCTGGAGGAGCGCAGACTGCAGGAGCAGCAAAGCAAGGCAACTCTGGTGGGGAGAAGGATTCCAGCACTGGTGAGTATATTTGGCGGGAACTCCTAAGAGTACCTTGCTTTTAAGACTGAGATTAAATATTCCCTGGACTTACAAAAGAAGGAATTTGCCAATGATGAGGATAGGGTGGCATGCCAGTTTCATGCTCGTGAGGTCGAGTTCCTGGGGTACTGGCTGTTGGATAGGGGACTTGCCATGGATCAGGAGAAGGTGAAGGCTGTGTTAGACTGGACAAGCCCCAAGATGAAGAAGGATGTGCAAAGATTCCTAGGCTTCAGCAATTTCTACTGAAAGTTTATCAAGAACTTTGCACATTTGTCGGTGCCTATAACTGATTGTGGGAAGAAAAAGTTTCTGTGGACTAAGGAGGCGCAGCAGGCCTTAGAAAGCTTAAAGAAGGTCTTTGTGTCAGAGGAGCAGCTGTTGCATGTGGATCCTTGTGGGTGAAGACAGACACTTCTGACAAGGCCATCGGGGCAGTCCTGTTACAACAAGACGCAGGGGGAGATTGGAGATCTTGTGCAGAACAATTCGGAGCAAAATTACACCATTTATGACAAAGAATTGCTGGCCATTTATGCGGCTTTTAAACAGTGGAGACACTTTCTAATTGTAGTGCAGCAGCAGATCCAGGTGTGGACAGACCACAATAACTTGGAACATTGGCGCACCGTGCGTGTGCTCTGTCAGAGGCAGATTCGATGGGCGGAGTTTTTTTGCCAATTTTGACTTTAAGATCCACTACGTTCCTGGAGAGCAGAACGTGAGGGCAGACACATTATCCAGGAAGCCGGAGTACATGGAAGATGAAGGGGGCCCCATGGCCAGACAAATGTTCCAGCGGAACAAATGGACCTGTGAGGGAACACTGGCAGGGGAGGCAGAACTGGTTAGACTCACCAGAGACGATGATTTTGCTCAAGGGAAATTTAGGGAGCTCAAGGAGGGATGGGAGCAGATGAGGGCTTTGAGGAGAAAGGGGGGTTGTTGTTCTACAAAGGGGCACTGTATGTACCGGGAGAACCCTAGCGGGTCAGAGTCCTCAAGCAGCTCCATGACAACCCTACAGCTGGGCACTTTGGGCAACACAAGACCATGTTGTTAGTTACGCGGGATTTCTGGTGGCCCAAGGTAAGGGAGGATGTGCGGGAGTATGTCCGAGGGTGCGACATGTGTCAAAGAGCAAAGAGGGAAAAGGCGGCCCCAGCTGGGCTGCTGGAGCCCTTACCAACACTGGGGAGACCTTGGGAGGTGGTGTCCATAGACTTCATGATGGACCTGCCCATGTCCCGAGCTAAGACAGCAGTCCTGGTGGTGGTGGACCTGCTGACCAAGATGTGCCACCTTGTGGCGTGCTCCCATGCGGTGTCAGATGAGGAAACCGCCAAGTTGTTCCTGGACCACATCTTTTGGCTGCATGGGGTCCCTTCTAGGGTAATTTCTGACCATGGAAGACAGTTCACCTCACATTTCTGGCACAAGTTCATGGGTTTGTTGCAGGTAGAGGTGAGCTTTTCCACAGCCAGACACCCACAGACTAATGGACAGGCGGAAAGAGCAAATGCCATTTTGCAGCAGTACTTGCGCTGTTACATTAATTAGCAGCAGAACGATTGGGTGGAGAAGCTAGCACTGGTAGAGTTCACGTACAATAATGCTGAACATGTGTCCACAGGGAGGAGTCCCTTTCTTGCCAATTATGGGTGTTATCCCAGGGCCTTTCCTGGGTGGGAGGAGGATGAATGGAGTGTACCAGCTGCAGAACAATTCGCACAAGAGATGGAGGCCATGCACCAACAGCTCAAGATGACTCTGGAAAGAGCCAAGGAAGTGTACAAGAAGGTGGTGGACAAACAGGAGACTGGGGGAGGTTATCCGGGTGGAGGACAAAGTGTGGTTGTCATCTCAGGGGCTGCCCCTGAGGGGGTGTGCAAGAAACTGCAGCCTAGGAGCATGGGTCCCTTTGAGGTGACACAGCAGGTCAACCCAGTAGCGTTCAGGCTGAAGTTGCCGGATAACATGAGGATACATCCGGTGTTTCACAGGTCTTTGCTGTCGCCTTACAGGGAGGGGCACAGCTTCCTGAAGAGGGAGCAGGGGGTTCCCACCCCACCAAGCATAGAAGAAAGGGAACTATGTAATGAAGTAACTGAGATACTTGACTCTAGGTGGAACGGACACCAAGTAGAGTACCTAGTTGCCTGGGAGGGGGCTCCCAGTTCAGAAAATGCATGGATCCCAGCAGGGTACGTGACTGAGAAGAGAAGTTCCTCACTCTTTTCCTGCACAAGCCCAAACCCCCGAAGTTGTTTTTTGGGGAAGTGTTTGGACCCACAGAGGACAAGAGGGAATACGAGGGATTCCCACCCTCAGGGGAGGGGAAGGGAATAGGGGGCAAAGTTGCCGAGGTCTCTGATGAGGAGGAAACTTCCTGGGATTTCCCGCCAGGGCCGGGATGGTCGGGGGGGAGCAGTTTTTGACTCCACAGAGGAGGACGACGATTCATTCCTCGGGTTCCCACCCTCTCCTGCCAACGCCAGTGAGTGGGAAACAGCTCTAGACCCCACCGATGGGGCAGGTTTTTTTGAAGGGGGTTGGATGTCAGGGGACTGCCATCGGAACAGGGGAGGGAAGCAGAGGCACCGTTGGGATACAGGGAGCCACCAAAACTTCAGAGGAGCAGTTCCACATCCAATAGTGGGGAAAGCCACACCTTCCGTGGAGAAGAGGGGGAAGGGGCCAGCCAAGAGAGGAAAGGGCTCGAGGATGCTGCTGAGAGCCCAAGCGCCTCACTTAGCCTGGCTAGCCAGGAGGCACACACGCTACTTCTGTCGCCCAGCTTGCGCAGAGGGGTGAAACGCAAGTGACTAAGATGGGCATGAACTTTTTAGATCTGCACTGTAAATAGTTTGCACAATAAAACCTGTAAAAGACAGGTTGGAGTCCTGCCTGGTTACTCACGAACAACCACCACCAGCACCTGACATTAAATAACTGAAGAAATGTTATAGTTACGGTAAATGAAAATCTAAGCAGGAATTTGCACAGCCAGTGGAAATTGAGGAAAGGATGGGGAAAGTATGTTTTTGTTTCTTTTCTCTCGTTCCTTTGCTGTTAACACCTTGAACGGGGAGTGGGAGATAATCAACTTTTAAATTTGTTGTAAATTTGAATTAATTTACCGTCAATTTCCTAAATTTTTTGGAAAATCAATAACAATTAATTGACACAAGAATTACAGCCCACTCTAGAGATCAAAAGAAGCCCTGCACAGGTCTCCCTCTCTCACCTTGGATATCTGGATGACTTGCCAGGAGGAGAAGTGCCCATTTCATAGAACTGGTGGTTGTGGATGTCCCTGCTACAAAGAGCCCGGAAATATTAAAAGCCATGTTTTCTTCATCATAGGTGGACTCTGGGTCGTTTTTGCTCTGATTTCGAAAATGGGGAAAGTGACATGTCATTTACATGCATTACAATCTGTTCTTCAGCACTTATTTTATCTTACTCCCCCTGCTCCTATTAGCATACCACCAACACATGCTTCATGAGGGGTGAGGTGTCTTCTTACACTGCCTGAGGTGACATAGGAAGGTGCCACCTCCACTGCCCTGCTGTCACTGCCACCTCCCTTATTTTGGTTACATAGCAGTGCCACAATGTGGTAACAACAACAATGAGGACAGTGGGATCTTGCAAGCGTTTGGTGAAATCTTGCAGGAAGCTGCCACCACTCCACTTCTCCACTACTGGCAGGCTAGGATGCCTCCTGTTGCCATTCCACTGCCCAAGGCAGCTGCCTCAGCCTGCCTCATGGGTGGGCCGGCCCTGTGCTTCGTAGCTGGTTGTGACAAGAGATCCATGTACACATTCCTGTGTACACAGCGGTAGCTGCTGGTGCTGCATTTGAGAATCTGCGGGTTGGGGTAATAATCCAACACTGGCAGGTGAAGACGGATACAAAAGAATCTCTCTGGCAGCAGATATTCAAAATGTGCATTACTTAGCACTAAACATATTTAATCATTCTTTAGTCACCATAGAGTATTCAAAGATTGTTCCAAGGAGGCAAGATGAAAAAATATTTTGACCTTTCTAGTGTAGGAATAAATGAGGCAGGAGTTTGAAGTCATATTTAGTTTAGGAACATTTTCTTTAGGATTTGTTTGGTCCCCTGCTGATGAAAGTGAAAGTGCATCCTCTTGCTATGCATTGTAATGTGTAATGAAACAGCTGCCACAATCCACTTGGTGAGTTGGCCATTCATACTATTTGGGCATTCTTTGAGATCCAGTGTGGTGTAGTGGTTAAGAGCAATAGACTCGTAATCTGGGGAACCGGGTTCGCGTCTCCGCTCCTCCACATGCAGCTGCTGGGTGACCTTGGTCTAGTCACACTTCTTTGAAGTCTCTCAGCCTCACTCACCTCACAGAGTGCTTTTTGTGGGGGAGGAAGGGAAAGGAGATTGTTAGCCGCTTTGAGACTCCTTCGGGGAGTGATAAAGCGGGATATCAAATCCAAACTCTTCATTCTCACTGTTTGGGCACCACAGGCAACATTTCAGTGGTGAGTATGTTCCCATGAGTTTTACAGGGGTTTTCAAACGTATTTGCCCACTGCCCTGTTGGATCCATCAACTGATCTCCAGTGCCCACAACCCTAATAATAAAAAAATGATTAAGAATAGTGGTTTGCACAACTCAATAAGAAAAATAATAATCCAATAAATCTGGGAAAAAGTAACTCAATGTCATTTTCAACTGAGATTCAGGAAAAAAAATATTGGTGTCCTTGGAAGAGATTAGCATTCACTTATAAAAGGGAATATAATGATTCCTTGGATGAGCAGCATTCAGTTTCAAAGCAGATACTTACTTTCTCCATCTGAAGTAGATAGAAATCAATGAAATCCTGTGGATCATGCAGAGACTGATTCTCCTTATGCTTCTCTATCTCCTCCTTTGCAAATGAAAGCACCATCTCTGTGCAGGACAAGGCCTTCTTGTGGGGCCCTGGGAGATGTTTCATGAGCCATGGGAGCATTTCATAAAGCTAAAGGAAAGATAGCAGACATGCCGTCATTACCATGAGGAAGCTTGGTCATGTAGTTCATGAGTCAATTCATTTGAATTAGTACTTAAAACATTAGTTTGAGTCTTCCTGAGAAGAAGGTAGGAGTCTGCAGCTTCTCTTGGATCTCACAATGACTGGTTCTGGGAAATATCTCTAGCCAAATATGTGAAAGAAAACTAGGGTCAACGTATTTTTCTAGCTCCCAGGCTTCATTCAAAACTGGGCACAATCCCAAGCCATTTGTTAGGAGGTGGGGGTGGCTAGAGAATACAGATGGGGAGACATTCAAGTCAGTTGACATTTAAGAGTGAATTTGCCAAATATGCAAATTGAAACACAGCCATCCTTTGAAATGTGCAGTTCTACAAATCTTGCAATGCGGTTTTAAAATTTATCTTTCTTTATTTTATTTTATTTTATTTTATTTATTTATTAAATTCCCCAGTTCCCCAGTCAAGAAATGCCCATCTCTTCCTTCAAAAATTCATACAAAGGTGAGAACTGTTTCCTAGTTCTGCTGGATCTCTCAGCAGCCTTGGACACCATTGATTGTAACATCCTTCTGGACCGTCGAGAGGGGCTGGGAGTTGGAGGCACGGTTATGCAGTGGTTCCGCTCCCTTCTCATAGGCTGTGTCAAGAAAGTGGTGGGGGGGTGAGTGTTCAGACCCCTGGGCTCTCACTTGTGGGGTGCTTCAGGGTTCCGTCCTCTCCCCCATGCTTTTTAATATCTATATGAAGCAGCTGGGAGAGATCATCAGGGGGTTTGGGCAGTATGCCGATCACACCCAGCTCTAACTCTCTTTTAAACCAGAACCAGTGAAGGTGGTGAAGGTCCTGTGTGAGTGCCTGGAGGTGGTTGGAGGATGGATGGTGGCTAACAGATTGAGGTTGAATCGTGACAAGACAGAAGTACTGTTTTGGGGGGACAGGGGGCGGGCGTGTGTGGGGGACTCCCTGGGCCTTAATGGGGCAGCTGCGCCCCTGAAGGACCAGGTGCGCAGCCTGGGAGTCATTTTGAACTCACAGCTGTCCGTGGAGGCACAGATTAATTCTGTGTCCAGGGCAGTGGTCTACCAGCTCCACCTGGTACGAAGGCTGAGACCCTACCTGCCTGCGGACTGTCTCGCCAGAGTGGTGCGTGCTCTAGTTATCTCCTGCTTGGTCTACTGCAATGCGCTCTACGTGGGGCTACCTTTGAAGGTGACCCGGAAACTGCAATTAATCCAGAATGTGGCAGCTAGACTGGTGACTAGGAGTAGCCACCGGGACCACATAACACTGGTCCTGAGAGATCTGCATTGGCTCCCAGTACGGTTCCAAGCACAATTCAAAGTGTTGGTAAAGGTAAAGGTAAAGGTAAAGGTAAAGGTAAAGGGACCCCTGACAATTAGGTCCAGTCGTGGCTGTCTCTGGGGTTGCGGCGCTCATCTCGCTTTATTGGCCGAGGGAGCCGGCGTTTGTATGCAGACAGCTTCCGGGTCATGTGGCCAGCATGACTAAGCCGCTTCTGGCAAACCAGAGCAGCACACGGAAACACCGTTTACCTTCCCGCTGGAGCGGTACCTATTTATCTACTTGCACTTTGTGTTTTGAACTGCTAGGTTGGCAGGAGCTGGGACCAAACAATGGGAGCTCACCCTGTCACAGGGATTCGAACTGCCGACCTTCTGATCAGCAAGTCCTAGGCTCTGTGGTTTAACCCACAGCGCCACCTGCGTCCCTCAAAGTGTTGGTGCTGACCTTTAAAACCCTATACTGCCTTGGTCCAGTATACCTGAAGGAGCGTCTCCACCTCCATCATTCGGCTCGGACACTGAGGTCCAGTGCCAAGGGCCTTCTGGCGGTTCCCTTGCTGGGAGAAGTGAGGGTACAGGGAACCAGACAGGGGGCCTTCTCAGTAGTGGCACCTGCCCTGTGGAATGCCCTCCGTTCAGATGTGAAGGAAATAAGCAGCTATCTTATCTTTAAAAGACATCTGAAGGCAGCCCTGTTTAGGGAAATTTTTAATGTGTGACATCTTAGTGTATTTTTTGTCTTTGTGGAAGCCGCCCAGAGTGGCTGGGGAAACTGAGCCAGATGGGCGGGGTATAAATAATAAATTATTATTATTATTATTATTATTATTATTATTATTAAACCTTTAACAAGGGAGCTTTTCCTCTTTCCTAGTTTTCTCATGAAAGATAAATTACTTACATTTTCTGAATAAACCTCTCTAGCAAACACTTCGGAGGTTGGGTCTCTTCCATTTCCTTTCCTTACAAGAACTTTGTTCCCAATAACAAATAATATTAAATAAGACAAATACATATCCTGGGTTTGCATCATGGAAATCTGAGGCGAGAGGGTGGAGAAAAGAGCCGATCCCCATATAAATAAATGCTAGCCAAGAGGTCTCAGAGTAATGAGAAGCAGGAGGCAAGGAAGAGGCAGGAGAGAGAGAAGGGGGAGGCAATGGCTAATTCATTTCTGCATACCAAGGTTTGAACGGGACATTTGAAGAAGAATGTGGTGAATTTGACAAGGCTCTGGGTGAAACTGATCAGGAGGAGGGAGGCAAAGCATGCCTCTCAACACAGTTCCGCTTGAGATTTTCTTTGGCAGGTAAAAAAAATTCTTATTTTAACAGAAGCCGGTGAGGGAGGGATGTGGAGCACAGCAGGATGGGAAGGAGAAGTGTTAAAGTTTGCCTTTTGGTGGCTCGATGCAGCCAGCAGAAGAAAAGGGGACAGAGAAACACATTACAGTTAAGAAAGAGAAAGGAAAGAGGGGAAATCATCTGATGTCTTGCCTCCCCATGGCTCCAACATCATGAGGGAGCCTGTCATAGTAGCATCTGGTCACATCCAGGGCCACAGGCTGCCTGGCTCCACCCACACTATGCCATAGTGTAATTCCCTTCCTGAGAAAATTATTTTGCTCACTTCTGCTCATTTATGTGGGCTATAGATGACTTGTTCTGAAGGCCATTGTTCCATTTCTAGCCTGTCTTTCCTCCAAAGAGTCCCAACTTGTGGACCTAGTTTCATTACTCTCTCTTTTATATTCATGGTAAGAAATTGATTAGGCTGTAAAATAGCCCTTATCTCAGATTAGATTTAAACCTCATCTCACTTCTCCAACAGTCTATCTCTATCATAATGGAATCCAGAATGCTGAGTGGGAAATGTAAGGCCCCTGGGTGACTTCTCTGAATCAGCAGGAATGAAAATGACTACTCACAGCATGAACGAAGCTTCCTATAAATTTTAGGGAGAAATCTATGGCTTCTATCAGCTTCTGGAACCTTTCATCTTCAAGAGCAAACCGGTGCCCAAAAGCCATAGCACATATCACGTTGGAGACTGAATTAGTGATGGGCATGGAGGGGTCAAGTGGTTGTCCTGCAAAATAAAGTTCTACTAATGTGAGTTCAGCTGCTCCTGTTCATACTGAGAGTGGGATTTCATGGTGGCCAAGAGAAACTGCTGGGATCTCCATTAAACGTAAAGGTAAAGGGACCCCTGACCATTAGGTCCAGTCGTGGCCGACTCTGGGGTAGCGGCGCTCATCTCGCTTTATTGGCCGAGGGAGCCGGCGTACAGCTTCCGGGTCATGGGGCCAGCATGACTAAGCCACTTCTGGCGAACCAGAGCAGCGCACGGAAACACCGTTTACCTTCCCCCCGGAGCAGTACCTATTTATCTATTTGCACTTTGACGTGCTTTTGAACTGCTAGGTTGACAGGAGCTGGGACCGAGCAACAGGAGCTCACCCCGCTGTGGTGGTTCGAACCGCCGACCTTCTGATCAGCAAGTCCTAGGCTCTGTGGTTTAACCCACAGCACCACCCGTGATCTCCATTAGGAACCAAGAAAAACATATCACATTCCTTTCTAAAATGGACAGAGGTAGTACACAAATATGTCTTCATACGCCAGCTCAGCACCATCACCCCTCATCTTATACCCTTTGAACGTGCAAAAATCTCCACAAGCTGATGCGCCTCCTCTGCTATTTGCTGCTCCATGCCTTTCTTCCCCAGTCCCAGCTTCCGCATAGTAACAATACCAAACCGTCTCTGTTGCCTCCAGGTGTGCCCATTGGAAAATGGAATACCTATGGAAAATCAGTGAGAAATTCTTCTTTACAGAAATTAATGATACAATTAAGTTACCATTCAAAAAGAAACTGAAGTTCATGCCCTTGAATGTGCAAGCTATTCAGTATCTCAAGATTACAATTACAAGACGATGTGAAGTCTGTCTCAGTGTGTTTTGCGGGTATCTCTGCAATATAGGCAAGCACTATTTGCTTCACACGATGCCTAACAGAATCTCACTTTCTATTTCCTGTCGTCATTCAGAAAATTATTAGTGATTCACCCAAATGTTTTGGTTATTTGTTGGATAATAGAACAGAAATCAGGTGGTCCCAGAAGGTCCTGCATAAAATGAGAGATCTCTGGACAGCTCTGCCAATTTCTGCCATAAAGACTGAACCTGCAGATATCACATGAGTTTTCTCATAGTGGTAAACACCTGCTGTTATTTTCAGTCACAACCCCAATTCAGCTAAGTTTTCCACACTATTTTTAAAGATATAATTTGGCTGATGTGTGATGTCAACAAGTTATTTTTCTACTGGCCAAGCCAGACTGGGATTTTATTGAGGATGTATTCTGCAGCATATTCTTGACATGACAGTAGTGCATTGATGGTCAATTTATTCTGCTTTGTTAGTTCTGTGATGCTTCCTGAATGCTACCACATTATTACTGTGTGGGGAAGCTATATAACAGGGAAAGCAGGACAATACTGTAACAAGTTTGTGCATTTGTGGTTTTCAGCAGGAAGTTAAGCGATATGACTGAATGGAAATTAACCAGTATGACAACCTCAAATTCTTTGCAGGCACAATTGAAAATGGAGTTGGATATAACACCCTCGAAAGAATTGAGCACAAATCATTATGAATGAGCAATACAAAGTTTACTGGAGGATGCCTAAGCTAGGCTTTCCATATGTTGGGTTAAAAGTCTGATCCATAGTTAAAAGTAGAAGTTGGCAAATGTGTCCTCTTTTTTGTCTTCCAAATATGGCAACCCTAGACTCTTAATAAGACGGTATCTTCAGGAGACCGTCACCTGCGGAGTACGGTGATTGACGATGTATAAAGGGAATGAGATGATCTTGCAGGTATCTTGGACCCAAGTTGTATAGACCTTTCTACACCCAAACCACCTCCTTGAACTTATCCCAGTAGCTAATTGGCAGCCAGTGGAATTCTTTCAACAGTGGCTAAAATGTTGGCTATATCCTGCCCACATGAACAGTTGATCCACTTCATTTTTCACCCTGATTAACCTCAAGGGCAGCCCCAAATACAGCACATTGCAGTAATCTAGCATGGAGGTTGCCAAACCTGATCCTTAGCTATCTTACTAGTCAAAGCTGCCTTGCCTGATGAAGGTGGTAGAAGGCCGTGAGGTCACCTGGGCCTCGGGCAACAAAGATGGAGCCAGACGCACTTCTAGACTATGAGCTGGTTTTCTCAGGTGAAGTACAGCCCTATCCATAGCAGGCAACTGACCAATTATCTAGACTCAAGAACCACCCACCTAACATGCCTCCATCTTACCAGGATTCAGACTCACTTTATTGGCCCTCATTTAACCCACCACCTTATCCAGCACATCCAGAGCTTGCATGGGTTCTCCCGATTCAGATGTTACAGAGCAATAGAGTTGAGCATCATCAGGGTGTTGACGACATCTTTTTTTAAAAAAATGATATTTATTAATTTTCAACCGTTTAAACACAACAAAACAGAAAGACAAAAAAAGAAAGAACAAAAAAAGAAAAAAAGAAAAACATAAAACTAACAAAGCAAGACACAAACCATTTCAAACACAAAACAATTTCAATGTCTTATCTTTCATTCCCTTATTTCCACGACCTCCTCACACCTCCCTTGTTGTTTTCCACTTCTATTAATTATTTCAGCAATTCCTTTCCATCTTCCTCTGTTTTCTATCCTATAATTATCTTAACATATTCTAGCCTTATTTTCCCTTTAATACACTATTAATCTATTTATACTTGATTCCTTATAGCATTTCTACTAAAGCCATATAACTTCATTCCAACATTTTTCTAACATTCATTATTTTTACAGTATTTCTATAAATAGTCTTAAACTTTTTCCAGTCTTCTTCCACCAGCTCTTCTCCCTGGTCTCGGATTTCTGCCAGTCGTTTCCGCCAATTCCATATAGTCCATCAACTTCATCTGCCATTCTTCCCGAATGGATAAATCTTGTGTCTTCCAGTACTTCACAATGAGTATTCTTGCTGCTATTGTTGCATACATGAAACAAATTCTATCCTTCTTTAACACCAATTGGCCGACCATGCCCAGGAGAAAGGCCTCTGGTTTCTTCAAAAGGGTATATTTAAATACCTTTTTCATTTCGTTATGAATCATCTCCCAGAGTGTCTTAATCCTTGGGCATGTCCACCAAAGGTGAACTCTAATCCTCAAATTTGTCTGTTTTTCTTTAAGTTCAGTCATAGCAAGCGTCAACTTATGTTCATCAAATTGCCTCTGTAGGGCTGGGGCTCTCTTTCTCTTTCTCTCCAGTTGTGTTACTTTACCTTCAGCAGCAACAGCTTTTTCCATGACTTCCTCCACAGTTTGCCATATCAAAATAGGTTCTTGTATCAATTTCTGGGTGATTTCTATATTGGTATTATTTATACTTTCTGTATTTAAGTTAATTTTAGTAATTGAAACATCCACTTTCGCATTTATCATGTCCATTTTCCTGTGAAGCTGATCCAATGAGTCATTTATCTTATATAATGCAGCCACTAAAGCCTCTTCTGTCGACATTCCTCTTGGTTTTAAATATACTAGTACAAAGACAGCAACAGAAAGAACAGGAGGGCCTAATGATAGACCTCTCCTGGTTTGTTACCAAGTCCTCCAGACCTTAATGTTTTGTCAGCAGTTGACTGGTCTGTTTTTCCTCTTCCATTTACCATAACACTTAAAAGATTCAAGGTCAGTCCCAGAGTCTCACGGTTTTTAACTTGCAGCTGGAAATTCCCCTAGTCCAGCTCTTGTAAAGCAACCGGTTTCAAAGGCTTCCACTAGGGGGAAACAGTTTCTATTAGTAATAGTCAATAGTATCCTCTTTTAAACAATCCAAAATTAGTTTCAAATTAGTTTCAATTTTCAGTTACTTTTACTCCTTTTTAAAGCAGCCAGAGACAGTAGAAACAATGTATTTCTCTTATTTAACTAGCTGTCAATGAACGTTCTAAACGCTGTCAATGAACATTCCAAAAGACGTCAGTCCTACTAGCAGCCCGTTTCCAGGGTCAGAGCGGCGGTGTTTTAAGTCCCATCGCTCTCTCCCGCAGGCATACTCAATCCGCAACTTTCCCCTCTCTTCTCCTGCCTCCAAGAGGGGGTTTAATGTTCTTTACCGTTGGAAATTTGATCTTTTACAAAAGACCTTCCAGGACTCCAGCTTGCAACTTCATTGCCTCAGTCTATTTACAAAAGGGGGAGGCGGACTTCCTGTTTTGAACCTCCCCATTACGGTACCAAATTAAACATTTAGAAATCCAATTCTTCCGCTTCAGCTCTACTCACGGGTAATTACTTTAAAGTCAAATTGTCCACAGGAAAAGGTCAGCGCTCTCCGACAACAGCTATGCGGCTTCGCTCCGTGGAAGAAGCAGACGATTTGCTGCACTGCGCCGCTCACCCCACGTCGCTCCGGAGCCCCAAAAACCGGGGTTCCCCGCGAGTGGGGGAGGCGCAAAAGGTGCCCGCCGAATCCCACGTTCACAGGCTTCTCCCGCCTGTGATTTTAACTGGTCTCCGCCTTCGCCGTGGCAGCCAGACCCAGATTCCCACGGAGCAGATTCCTCCCGGTCAGAGGAATTCCACCATTACCGGAGGCGCCTCCCCAGAAGTCCCTGGGCGTTGACGACATCTTGCCCCAAATCTGCTAATCACTGCTGCCAAAGGCTTTATGCAGAAGTTAAAACGAATTGGGGCCAAATGGTAAACTGTGACAAACCAGAGCATAACTGCCAAGGGATTGAAATACAAGCACCCAGTTCTATTCTATGAAACTGACCTGGAGAGAGGATCAGAACCACTGTGCAAAATAGAATTGCCAGTGAGTTGCCTCTCCATTCTGAGGAGGTGACTAAGACTAAATTGGGTGCCAAGCTGGCACCAACACTGTCTCCTTCATTAAGGACATAGAGATGCCAGGTATGAACAAACCTTGCAGGCCCAACCCATTTGAAGGAGTGCCCACTTGCTTCACAGTCCTTGGATGCCAGTCACCCACCTCAATCTCCAAAAGGAAGGTGTGGGGGATGTATCACTAGTTGGATCAACATCTTAGCTAGCATTTAGCTGTGTGTCTATTACCTATTCTTATGTACCTATTCCACCTTGTAAGCTGTGTCTTGGCAATGTTCTGATCTGATGTAGGCATCAAAGCCTTCAGCAGAAAGAGCAGAGAGTTCAAGCCCTTCATCCAGCGCTGAGGGCCAGGACAGTTAATGCATTGCAACGGCAACAGGAAACAAGCTTCTACCTGCAGTTCAGTCTAACCACAGTGCAGTACAATTCTGACTTCCATAAAGCACTTGTTAGAGTAGACTAATGGAAATTAATAAACCCTCATTAGCCATGCCCATTAATTTCAGTGGGTCTTCTCAGATAAGAACTGGCACTGCATAAAACCCCTATTTCCTGTTCAGTACCACATTATTAGAAAACCTTTGTTCTCTTTTTCCAGACAGCCACTTAAATGTTTTCTTCAGGGAATGTACCAGCAGAAATTCTCATTCTTCACTACTTACCCTTTCCGTTTGCTATAGTCATAAGGAAAGGAGTCTGTGGTCGGTCTTCAAATTCTTCAGAGTGGTCAATGAGCACTTCTTTCACTGCTTGGAATCCAGACAGTATTATGAAGGGTTGATATCCTGCCCAAAGGGTGTAAATGTTTCCATATTGCTTTGCCATCTACCATTTGGGTCAAAAGAGAGAAGAGGAATGCTATGTTCAGATAGTTATTTCAACCTAATATGTGAGCTTCAGCCTTCCTCGCCTCTTAAGCATCTCACTATACTCTCTTCTCTTGCCAGCATCTCCTTTACTTTCTTTTGTTCCTTCCTTCATTCCAACCAATTTGTTTTACTCCCTCCTGCCCGTGTTTTCCCTGCATGGGATCAGAGCAACAGAGAGGCACTTCATAGTCTCCAGCCATCTGATGACAGGCAAGTAGATGAGCCAGCCATTGCTAGAGGCTTCTTCATCATCACCATAAAAACATTTTGTGTGGGGATGTGGAAACTGGAGTCCACCAGATACTGTTGGACTGCAACTCCCATCATCCCTGACCATTGGCCATGCTGGTTGGGGCAGATGGGCATTGTAGTCTGGAGGGCATCAAGTTGATATAAGCTTTGCTAGAGCACTGGGTCAGGTTTATGACCCACGGTGGGTCACAACAGCAAAGGCGTAGCAAATCAGATGGTACCTGGTGCAGAATTTCTTTTGTCACCCCCACACATTGAAATTTTTGGGGAAGGTTACACAAAGTTGTGGTAAGAGATTAAGAAGAGGATGGAATTAAGTGGGAAGGAATTAAGAAATACCTGTCTGAGTAATTTGGCTTATAAATGTATTAAACAAACAAACAAACAAACAAATTAAATATTGTCTCGTGTCTTCCCTGGCTACATACGAGCTACAAAAGTCCCATGGCTTTCCTGGAAATAGATAATGATCTCCTGCTACACTGCCAAGTGAACTTGGTGTCCATCCATCTGTTGGAAGAGGAGAAGTGCATAGCATTCTGGGCCATGTTGCATCACACATGGGAAGAGTGGGAGGACAAGCTCCAGAGTATATTGCAATAAACTATTTCATTGGCTCAGCTGCTTGTTTTGTGTGGTGTCTTTCAGATTTAAGCATCCTTCATCCTGCAGATACAAACAACACACATAATAATATAGAAACTAATATAAAAGGAAAAGAATCTGATTAATAATGAAAAGCACAAAAACATATAAAGTAGGAGAATTACCGCATGGGGGGCTAGGTGAAATCAGGAAAATACACATGCCAAAATGTTGTTGCATTTTCTCTATGAGAAGTGTTGACTAGTAAGTGGTAGCAGGATCAGCCTGTGCACCTTCCTGTCTAAGTGCCATTAGTCTCACAACTGCAGCTGGTGCTTTCAAATGACTCTCTGATGCTGATTTCACAGACCTGGCCTTTTGCTCTTGCTGGGAGTATTACCTGGAGATTAGCATTTACTGCAGAGATGCAATTTGCTGTATTAGTCTTTGAATTGCTTTTTTAAAAAAGTGTTTGTATTTCCAATGAACAAGATGAAGACTTTTCCAGGCTTAAAAGCTTGAATAGCATATGCAGGTCTGCAACAGATAAGTCTGTATCTGTTGAAGGGTTGCCATGAATGAATGCAGAGTGATCTTTGTGCTCACTCTTTTGAAAATGCATTTTCTTATGTGTCTGTGGTCAGTGCTGTGGGGTTTCTTTTTTTATATAATGTTCATATACACCAGGAGTGATGGCTCTAGAAGATTTGAAAGAATGTAGGTAAAAATTTTTCATGTTAATTCTCTGGTTGGTTATAAACATACACCGAGGAAGCACATAACATGTAACAGTATACACAGTGACGTATGAAGAGGGGGCCAGAGGGGGCAGATCACCCCGGGTGCCACCCTGGGGGGGGGGTGTCAAGATGGGCCACTGCCTCCTCCCAGCTGTGGAGCAGCGAAGGGCACACAAGCAGTCAGTATGGGCGCCGCTTGCGGCATCCGTATGAGCTGCCGCTCGCACACAGTGTCCATATGGGCTGCTGTGCATGAGTAGTCTGATTGGGCTGCCGGGCGGTTTGCCCCACCCCTTGGCGTACCACCCCAGGTGATGAAGAGGGTTCCTCCCCCACTGAGTATACAACAACTTACCTTTCCGATTGTGATATAGAAAAAATAGGGGTGGTTGGCATTTGCTGCCCAATTCCCCAAGGGACTGAGTCCCCTAAGTCCATGATGGGTAAGAGATGAATGGATGGAGGGAGGGTACAGTGGCTCTAGAAAACGCTTCTCTCACAATGGAACATTGGGGGATTTTTAATTAAATTCAGTTTCAGTAAATGTAGGGGTTTCATCACATTTTATTCTGTGCTTGGTTGTGGCCATGACATTTACTGTTTTACCCCTTACTATTGTTTAAGCTGAAATATCATAGTTGTTAAGGGGAATAGGTAAAACAATTGTTCATATTAGACTGAGTTAGAAATAAGTACCTTAATGAAAGTATCATCACGAAGCTTCACCCCAATCCGCCACACGCCTCCAATGAGAGGAAGCTGGAGAGGTCCAGGAGGATAGTGCCTAGTTGACCAGAGCTGTTTCAGGAAATGCAGAATCAGAAGAACCACCAGCATAACAATAAAAAATGCCCCTATTTCCATCCTTCTCTTGCTTTCTCTTTCTCCTGGATACTTTTTAGGATTCCTGGTTAAGTTCAACACTCTTTCTCTAAGGAGATCTTGCTTTCCTCAGAGAAATCAACATTTCTCTCTCTTTATATACTCTCTTATTAAAAAGGAATAAGAAACAAATGTTCTGACATCATATCCAAGTAACCTTGGAATGTGATCCCAAGTCATGTGCTACAGTCAAACACTATAAACATTCTTACATGTGTCACTCAGATGACAGGAAGTCTGATTAATATGAATTGCAATTAGAATTTTGGCCAGTGTAAGACTGATTTGTGCTAAAAACATTGGGAAAATATGTACCATACATTCATGAAATAAAATTGCATATGGAAAAGGCCCGATGCAAATGCCCATGGGAAGCCCTCAGCCCTCATGGCAATAGCCCTTAATATAGCTATTAATGATAAATTAACATGTGCTATTAAGGTAAGACGGGGAATACGCAGGAGACATGGAACGTGTTTGCAGAATTTGTGCTGCTAAAACAGAAAGGGGTCAAACTATCACAAGAGGTGTTGAAATTTTGGGAGGTTGGATAGTTACAATGGAATGGTCTCGGGGATAGGGTGCACATTTTTATTCTTATTTATTATCACTTTGTCAAAATAGAAAATATTATATTTTTAAAAGTAGCAGCTGCTGCCCAAGAAAGACAAATGGCTGTTGCGCAGTGGTAGGACGTGAATTGTACATGCAAAAGACCCAGCATCTCAAGGTCGGGCTGGACATGTTCTCTAAAGAAGAAAGGAGGAGGAGGAGGGAGGAGGAGTTTGCGGTGAGTTCTGGCACCTGTTTTTCTAGAAAAATAGTACTGTGTCCTATCCATGGCATCTCCGGGTACAACTGGGAGACAGTCTCGTCTGAAGTTCTGGATAGCCACAGCCAGTCAGTGTAGATAAGACTGAGCTAGATGGAACAATGGTCTGATTTGGCATAAGGCCAAATCCTATGTTCAGAATGCTAGGGAGTTATTTTTAAACTGCAGTATTAGGTGCTCAGCTAGAATGTATACCACAGATCAGCAAAGGTACCACCAGGGCTAAGAAGATGCCAGCATGCTTAACAAGCAACGTCGAAGAAGTTATCAGAAGCAAGTAGTATTCCTTCAGAGCATGGAAATCCCATCCAAATAAGAAGAAGAAAAGAGAGCACAAATTTTGCCACAAGTTTCTCTGGAACACAAATGATCACACTGGGAACCAGGGGGCATACAGTCAAAAGGAGTGTAGTAGTGAAAGTCTGGTTCATCTGCCAGAAAACCTCCCACCGCCAGTGCAAAGCATCCGCTGTCCAAAGTGCAGTAATTTGGGGAAGGTTTTTTCACCATTTACTGGATTATCCTCAGGCCAACGGAATCCAAATTCATTGGAGGAAATGTACAAGATCACCGTTCTTTTCCCCCTCTTTGTTTTAAAATTGATTGCAGTTTAACAAGCGTGTGGTTTCATAAACTGTCTCAGTCAGTTACAATCATGGGGTGCCTATCCAGACCTATAACTTCCGCTACCTGCTCTCACTCACTAAACCACCTCTCAGATATTTACTTGTCTTCCTAGCTCCTAACTGTTCCTTGAAGGAATGGGTTTCCCAAAACCCAAAACTGACTGTGCAGGCAGTTTTAAATGCACCAAAATCCCTATTTTTCCCTAGCTAAAATGCATAAACTTGAGCCATTGAGCAAATGCATAACAAGAACACAGCTCTCTCCTTTATCAGTTTGTGACGTCAAGGATGACCCTAACTGTACCAGTAGAACAGAGTAAACACGTTTGTGCCTTATCTTATGTTCCCACCACAAAGATGCACAGACCCAACTCTGGGAAAAACGCCAGAAGCGTGTTCTCGGAGATGATGACCCCTTCCTTCCTCCAAGATAAGAGTAGGAAGAGGAAGATCCTTTTATGTTCAGGAGTGCAGGAAGGAAATCCCTTTTATGGTTAAGAGTGTCGGAGCAGGAACATCTGTGATGTCAACCTGCGTGTGCAAGCTGACGTGGCTGGGGAAGGGGGAGAGGGTGCCTGGAGAATATATATACTGCATGAAACTTGTCATTTCTTTGGACTTGCTGTGGACTTGATCACGCAAGTGCCTTCTGCTATCCGGAGAGCAGAATAAACTCTTTCTTTGAACCAACCTCGGTGTCATTTGACTTCCTTCCTCCTGTCCCGGAGCAATGCAGACCCAATCGGTGAACTCAAATAAGGCTACATCCTGACTCAGCTTATTTCGCTACACTAACTCATCCTACCCACAGACTATATCCCAATTCACTCCCACTCCAACCAACCACCCAACTCCCAACGAACTCCCCCTTTTTGCCCCTCCCAGAGCTGGTTTGATAGTCCCTCTGACTCCACCCTCCTGGGTTTTGATTGGGTAACCTGTTTAACTATTTTACCTCCAGCACTCTCATATGTTAACGTCACATACCTCCCCCCTTAAGAAGTTTCGATTCAGGAGAGTTAACTTCTTAAAGTTACACTCCTGATCAAACAGTTTTGGTTGTTTTTTTCCTATATATATACATACATAAACAAGTAAATTGTTGATTGTCTCTGTTCATCCTTCACTCTCTGGTTTTCGTGATAAGGCATCCGCCACAATGTTCAAGGATCCTTTCACACTTTTGATGGTAAAATTGAAATCTTGTAGTAATAGGACCCACCGCAGCAACTTACTTTTACTCTTCATCGATCGTAGCCATATCAATAGTGAGTGGTCTGTACATAACACAAAGCCTCGTTCCCAGATATACGGCTTCAATCTTTGAAGGGCCCACACAATTGCCAAGCATTCTTTCTCAACCATTGAGAGGTGCTTTTCTCTAGGCAGTAACTTTTTGCTGATGTAGGCAATTGGATGCAGGTCTCCCTCTGGTCCTGGCTGGCATAATACAGCCCAAATTCTGGCATTTGAAGCGTCTGTGAACACAGTGAATTCTTGATTGTAGTCTGGCGCTGCAAGAACGGGTCCTGACATCAAGGCTCCTTTCAATGCGCCAAAGAACTGCTGACAGGCTGATGTCCACTTGACTTCGTCTGGCTCCTTCTTGCGCGTAAGGTCGGATAACGGTGCTGCTAGTTTCCTGAAGTTTGGAATAAACTTCCTATAGTACCCTGCTAGTCCTAAGAAAGCGAGTACCTTCCATTTGGAAGTAGGGGTAGACCAGGTGGAAATGGCCTCAACCTTTGCCTCTACTGGTTTAATTACCCCTCCTCCGACCATATGTCCTAGATACTGTATAGTCGCACCACCTATCTGGCATTTGTTCGCTGTGATAGTCAACCCTGCCTCCTTAAGTCGCTGTAAATGTCTTAAATGTACTTTATGCTCCTCCCAGGTCACACTGAACACTGCAATATCAGCTAAATAGGCAACTGTGCACCTGCTCAGTCCATTTAGAATCTTGTCCACTAATCTTTGGAACGTGGTGGGCACATTTTTTAACCCAAATGCCATAACTTTGAACTCATAGAGCCCTAAGGGACTTCTAAATGCTGTCTTCTCTTGGTCCCTCGGATTCATTTTGACCTGATAATATCCTTTGGTCAAATCTAAACACGTGATGTAATGACATCGCCCAGTGGTCTCTATCAGATTATCCAATCGTGGCATGGGATACGCATCTGCTTTGGTGACATGGTTCAGTTTTCTGAAATCCAAACAAAAGCATACCGATCCATCGGTCTTGTCCAATAGCACTATAGGGGCTGCCCAAGGGCTTTCTGAAGGTGCAATAATTCCTGCTTTTAACATGTCCCGCACCTCCTTGCCAACCTTCTTCACATACCCTCCTGTTATATGGTAGGGGTTCACAGCAATGGGTTTGGCTTCCCCTGTGTCTATCTGATGTTCCACACCCTTGGCCACTCCTGGTATATTACGGAATAAGGATTCGTATTCCTGCAAGATCTGTTTTACTTCCTCTTGCTGTTTAAGGGTTAAAGTCGGAGCCAATTTTATGCCCTTTAAACTACCCTGGGACTCTCTCTTGTCCGTTCCCCCCCCCCCCAGCATGGTATGTCTGGTTCACCTGGATCCTCTCGTAGGGCATACACTGTCCAGATTTCTGTTCTAAAATAAGGTTTAATCATATTTACATGCACCACTTTCCGCCCTTCCTCTCCTTGCCGGATCACATAATTTACTTCATTCATTTTGGCTATAATTTTATATGGTCTTTCCCAAGCTAATTGTAGTTTAGCTGAAGAAGGAGCAAAAAGGGTTTTCTTGTGTGTGTGTTTCTTTGTGGCTGATTAGCTGCTCTCCCTGTGCAAAGGTCAGAGGGGGCAGGGTTTCTGTTGAGGCAGGTGATTAGCTGTGGGAGGAGCTTATCAGAGCTTGCAGTTTGATCCATCTTTTAGATTTAGGGGAGCTAGTCTCAAACGTTTGTTGGGGGAGACCTAGGGTTTTTTTTGGGGGGGGAGTTATTTGTCCTGTCTTCACGCTTTTTATGATGGAGGACCGCTGTAGCCACCCCCAACGACACGTTCTCAAGATGGAGGGGGAGGAAACAGCTGCAGTCGCCTGCGGTTCCTGCCCAATGTTTGCCATCTTGCCAAAGGTTGCAGGCAGCTTTACCTGCAGCAATTGCATGTTGATTGCCCTCTTAGAAGACAAAGTCCAGCAACTGGAGGAACGTGTAGCTACGCTCCAAAGAATTAGAGAGCTGCAGCTCTTCTTGGAAGCAACAGAGCACACCGTCTCCACCAAGGAGGAGACAGGGGACTCCCCTGAGGAGGCTAGTTCACCAACACAGGAGCCAGATATATGGAGAAATGTGACTCAAAGAAGTAGGAGGCCCAGGGTTCGCTCTGATTGTTTAGAAATACACAATCGCTTTGAGGTCCTCTCCCCTAGCATGGAAGACGAAGAGCAGACTCCATTTAAGGATCTCTCCCTCATTACAGTCGATCAGGTATATGAAGACGAGCAGCAAAGTCAGTCCTCAGGGAATGTGCAGGCGACCTTGGAACGGACAGCTCACGGAAGAACCCCGACCAAACCTAAGAGGAGGCGTGTAGTGGTGATAGGGGATTCCCTACTGAGGGGAACAGAAGCAGTGATCTGTGGGCCTGACAAGATGTCTCGGGAAGTATGCTGTCTCCCCGGGGCTAAGATCCAAGATGTAACTGAATGACTGCAAGGAATCATAAAACCCACTGACAAATACCCCTTCCTCTTGGTTCATGTGGGAACCAATGACACTGCAAGCAATAGCCTCCAGAAGATCAAAAGAGACTACGAGGCTCTGGGCAAGAAATATAAGCAATTAAATGCACAAATTGTCATCTCATCTGTCCTCCCAGTTGAACGACGTGGCCCAGGGAGAGAGGGAAAAATAGTGGAAGTGAACAGCTGGCTTCGCAAATGGTGTAAACAGGAACGGTTTGGATTCTTAGATCACGGACTGCAGTTTCTTGAAGATGGACTTCTGGCAAGCGATGGGCTGCACCTCACAACGGTTGGGAGGAATGCTTTTGCCAAAAATCTCAGAAACCTCATCAGGAGGGCTTTAAACTGACTAATGTGGGGGAGGGAGACAGTGCTCCTGAAGGTAGGAGTCTATCAATTGATGAAGATGATCATCCAAATGTCATAGACCAAATGGAGCAAACAGCACGCAGACCTAGTGGTGGGAGGAAAAATCCTTAAATAAGAGACACGGGGAATGATTAATGGACTTCAATGTCTGTACACTAATGCACAAAGCATGGGAAATAAACAAGATGAGCTTGAGCTCTTGGTACAGCAAACTAAATATGACATAATAGGCATCACTGAAACCTGGTGGGATAAGTCCCACGATTGGAATGTAATAATGGAGGGATACAATCTATTTCAGAGACAAGACCAGACAAGAAAGGAGGAGGAGTGGCGTTATATGTCAGGGATGTGTATACCTGTGAAGAGATCCAAGATTTAGAACCTCAAAGCCAAAGTGAGAGCATTTGGGTCAAAATTAAGGGAGAAAAGAATAACAGTGACCTCATTGTGGGAGTTTACTATAGATCCCCAAGCCAAACGGAGGACATAGATGATGCCTTCCTGGAACAGATGGCCAAGCATGCAAAAGGAAGGGAGATAGTAGTAATGGGGGACTTCAATTACCCGGATATTTGTTGGATGTCAAACTCAGCCAAGAGCATAAGGTCAAACAGATTCCTCACTGGCCTTGCAACTTCATTGTCCAGAAAGTGGGAGAAGCAATAAGAGGAACAGCCATTTTAGATCTGGTCCTAACCAATGTTGATGACCTGTTTAGTGGGGTAGAAGTGGAAGGATCATTAGGCACAAGTGATCATTCTCTTCTGAAGTTTACTATACAGCGGAAAGGAGCAGCCAAGCATACTAGGACTCAATTTCTTGACTTTAAGAAAGCCAACTTCATAAAACTTAGGGAAGTGCTGGGTGAGATCCCATGGACAGTAATACTAAAAGGAAAGGGAGTTCATGATGGCTGGGAGTTTGTTAAGAGGGAGATAGTAAAAGCACAACTTCAGGCAATACCAATGAGACGGAAACATGGAAGGTGCCTAAAGAAGCCAGGGTGGCTATCTAAAGAACTTTTAACTGAGTTAGGATTAAAAAGGATGTGTACAAAAATGGAAAAGGGGGAAACCACCAAAGAGGAATTCAAACAAATAGCCAACACGTGTAGACACAAAGTCAGAAAAGCTAAAGCACAGAATGAACTCAGGCTTGCTAGAGAGGTTAAAAGCAACAAAAAGGCTTTTATGGGTATGTTCGTAGCAAAAGGGAGAACAAAGAAACAGTGGGGTCACTCAGAGGAGAAGATGGTGAAATGCAAACAGGGGACACAGAAAGAGCTGAACTCCTCAATGCCTTCTTTGCCTCAGTCTTCTCCGATAAAGAAAACAATGCCCGACCTGAAGAATTTGGAGCAAATGATTCAGCAGAGGAAACACAGCCCAGAATAATTAAGGAGATAGTACAAGAATACTTGGCTAGTTTAGATGTATTCAAGTCTCCAGGGCCAGATGAACTGCATCCAAGAGTATTAAAAGAACTGGCAGATATGATCTCAGAACCACTGGCAGTCATCTTTGAGAATTCCTGGAGAGCAGGCAAAGTCCCGGCAGACTGGAGGGGGGCAAATGTTGTCCCTATTTTCAAAAAGGGGAAAAGAGAGGACCCAAATAATTACCGCCCAGTCAGTCTGACATCAATACCAGGGAAGATTCTGGAGCAGATCATTAAGCAAACAGTCTGTGAGCACCTAGAAAGGAATGCTGTGATCACCAATAGTCAGCATGGATTTCTGAAAAATAAGTCATGTCAGACTAACCTGATCTCGTTTTTTGACAGAATTACAAGCCTGGTAGATGAAGGGAACGCAGTGGATGTAGCCTACCTTGATTTCAGCAAGGCATTTGACAAGGTGCCCCATGATATTCTTGTAAAGAAGCTGGTAAAATGCGGTCTTGACTATGCTACCACTCAGTGGATTTGTAACTGGCTGACTGACTGAACCCAAAGGGTGCTCATCAATGGTTCCCCTTCATCCTGGAGAAGAGTGACTAGTGGGGTGCCACAGGGTTCTGTCTTGGGCCCGGTCTTATTCAACATCTTTATCAACGACTTGGATGATGGACTCAAGGGCATCCTGATCAAATTTGCAGATGACACCAAACTGGGAGGGGTGGCTAACACCCCAGAGGACAGGATCACACTTCAAAACGACCTTGACAGATTAGAGAACTGGGCCAAAACAAACAAGATGAATTTTAACAGGGAGAAATGTAAAGTATTGCACTTGGGCAAAAAAATGAGAGGCACAAATACAAGATGGGTGACACCTGGCTTGAGAGCAGTACATGTGAAAAGGATCTAGGAGTCTTGGTTGACCACAAACTTGACATGAGCCAACAGTGTGACGCGGCAGCTAAAAAGCCAATGCAATTCTGGGCTGCATCAATAGGAGTATAGCATCTAGATCAAGGGAAGTAATAGTGCCACTGTATTCTGCTCTGGTCAGACCTCACCTGGAGTACTGTGTCCAGTTCTGGGCACCACAGTTCAAGAAGGACACTGACAAACTGGAACGTGTCCAGAGGAGGGCAACCAAAATGGTCAAAGGCCTGGAAACGATGCCTTATGAGGAACAGCTAAGGGAGCTGGGCATGTTTAGCCTGGAGAAGAGGAGGTTAAGGGGTGATATGATAGCCATGTTCAAATATATAAAAGGATGTCACATAGAGGAGGGAGAAAGGTTGTTTTCTGCTGCTCCAGAGAAGCGGACACGGAGCAATGGATCCAAACTACAAGAAAGAAGATTCCACCTAAACATTAGGAAGAACTTCCTGACAGTAAGAGCTATTCGACAGTGGAATTTGCTGCCAAGGAGTGCGGTGGAGTCTCCTTCTTTGGAGGTCTTTAAGCAGAGGCTTGACAACCATATGTCAGGAGTGCTCTGATGGTGTTTCCTGCTTGGCAGGGGGTTGGACTCGATGGCCCTTGTGGTCTCTTCCAACTCTTTGATTCTATGATTCTATGATTCTATGATTCTAGTTTGTTCCCTTTAATTGGTCTCAGCAGCAATACTTCACTCTCAAGTGCAAATGACCTTACCCTGGCCAAATAAATAAATAAATAAATAAATAAATAAATAAATAAATAAATAAATAAATTTTATTTGTGTCCCGCTCTCCCCAGCCAAAGCCAGGCTCAGAGCGGCTAACATCATATAAATAAGACAATATGCATAATACAATATAAAATATGCAAATAAAATAACATTCAACATTCATTAAAACAATATAGAATAATATTAAACATCAGCATTTCAAAATTAAACAGAAATCCACTCAACAGTTACAAAAAGTAATTTCTAAACTCCAATCAATAAAACAACAGCAAACCACAGTGCACAACATAATACAATACAAAATGAGATGCAGAGACTGGAGGGTGGAGTAAGGCAGGTGGAAGGAGGCCTTGCCTGATGGAGTCTCTCCCCTCACAGTTCTTCCTCCAGGCACAGCTTCCTTATGAAG